CGATAAATCTTGCGACGTAATTGACCTCGCCTGTTGCGGGTAACATTAAGGCAGAAGTTGAACTTCAATTGGTGTTTCATCACCGATAATTGAACGATGAAGCGAAGCATAAATATATTAACACTGAAATTTGAAAAAGGAACTGCAACCCTTAGTAGATAAAGTAAAGTGAAATACGGAGACATCCTAATATAGAAACTGGATTTTTTCTATTAACTTTACTTGCTATAGTTTACTTCACTTTACTTTACTTTACTTTATTTTACTCTACTTTACTTACTATACTTTAGCTTTACTTATTCATTCTATTAATGTGAACTAGGCTTAAGTGTCCAAGGAGAGCTGGTATGTAAAAGGTTCTGGCAGCTTGACCTGGGACATTCCGAGTTAACTTTCGAGGACCACGATTGTCTAGAGAAAGTACTCCTTTTTTTCGATTCTCCACAGTCAATACCACGACTGCATGCAAAGCATCATTACCTCCCTGCATTCACAAAAACCGTTCGACTTCCATGAACCAACACTTCTTCCATTTGGTGAATGATCATCCTCGCCGAAACGGGTTCTTATTAATAAACGACTCGGATTCATCCGATCGACCGGTTGAAACTCAAGAAGCCACTGTTTCGTCGTGATTCATCCATTAATCGTAATTAAACCGCAATTATTAACGCCCGAATAAGAAATAAAAACGAGCAAACCGAAGCGTGTAAAGATCGGAAAGAAATATCGCGTGATTATACTGTCCCGTGATCGTTTAACCGAAACTAACCAATCTGTATCACAAAGTAGAAAGTAGAAATTTTAAATCCAGACCTGTTTGAGTGATCGTTATGGTAAGTTCCATTAATGGTTCATTATTTACAAGCTGAGTATCACAGTAATTTCTGTGATTCAAAAATTACACAGTTTGAAAGTTACATTTGGAAATTCTAATAACAGGCATAGTTTACCTTAATGGGACGTTTAATAAAAAATATAAAAAAATTTGAAAAGGGTGGTAAATAAAAAAAGTTAAAGAAATGATAATGTATTTATAATAATCATTAATGACTCAATCATGAAGTTTAGCATTAGAAATATCCCAACCTCTTCAGAAATTCTAATGTTTAGGAATTATCAAGGCATTAAAGATTAAGTTACCGTGTAATTTATTCGACAACAGAGGCTAAGCGACTAATACACCCTTTCATTATTGTTGGTACTATTCAAATGAAATTCTAATGACGAGTTCCTTTCAGAAATTACATCAGCGAGGTTAAGAACGGAATAACATTATCTGAAAGCATAACATAAATTCTAGATTTCATATTGCATCGTTTTTCGCATTTGGAATGCTGAAAAACATTTTGTTTTTCATTGAAGTAAACACGTTCGACAAGTGACTTTTATGCAGTCGCGAAAGTTGTCAATAAACAATTTTATATTTTCCTATAGTAATTTGGTTTATTCGAAGATAAAATACGCGAAGGGGTTATAAGTTTCATTATCAAATGAACGATTCAATTTGCAATCAATTAGTATCGAAAGAAAACAAAGTATCAATTTTGCAATGATCGTAATGAATCGTTGATTACAACCCTTCAGGAGCAAGCGAAAAGTAACCAAGTTGATATGAAAGTTCTGCTCCCCTCGAAGAGAATGTGAAGTCTCGAGAAGATCTACGACATAATTACACCTTGCATCGAATTTTTTCCCTCGCGTGATCCTCTTGCATTAAAAGCAGAGATCTATGTCGACGATCGAATGACTTTTACTTCACCAACTCCTCATCACAGGGTCAAGTTACGATGATTTCTCGACCAATAGATCACATTCACGCTTTATCTTTCCCCTTCTGATTGATTCGTCTGACAATCATTTTAATCTCTATTAATCATTTGGATGAGATAGGATTGTTCAATTAACTCTGACGTTTCGTTAAAGTATCATTCGAACTAATAATTATTTTTTAAATGATTAATGAAAGAATAATTTTTAAAGGAGCAATGTAAAATTTAGGAAATAAAATAGGGGCTCTCTCCATGGTCCGCTGTCCGAGGGTTAATTATATACTTGAAAAGACGGATTGTTTTAAGATATTGATAACCTTGTGTTTAATAATCTATCAAATTTTTCTTATTGAAATTCAAGAAGAATAGAAATTTTCAATAATTTTAAACATTTTAAATACCGAATTGGAAGCTTCAGTTTTAAAATTAATTTATGGTATCCTTGATAGTAGGTAATCTGCTGGCAGTTAACAACACGTGTATTTATTTAAATAGAACGCTATAATAGTTGAAACACTGCTTACTTCTCTTCAGCTAGGCATTACCTGTACATAGAGAAGAACGATAAACGACCATATTATTCAATATGAAAAACGACTGCGTTCAAGAACGAAGAGGTTGTGGCATACACCGTAGAGCAAATCACATTTAATCTTTCAAGTTCCAATGCAGTAAAGAACAACCGTGCACATAAGTCTCGAACAATAAACTCATTTCCCTCGCGTCCATGTAACACGCGGATACAAGCATCTGTGAAAGTCTTTTGAAATGAACGACGTGTCACGTGCAATGTAACCGATACATGACAAAGATTTTTAATTCGATTACTAAAAAATCGTATTATTTTAAAAGATCGTAATACTTTAAGAGACATTGCAGAATAATAAAATAATGATCAAATTGCAAGATTTGCATACGAAATGAGAGGAAAACGGAAACAGGAAACTGCGGCAGATAGAAAACACGGTAGCCAAGGAATCTACGATCGCGTAATCGATCAATTACCTTACTTCATAACCGATTCGCTCGAGCAAGAGATAAGATTCAACGCGCTTTCGTTGTTATGCTTTGATCGATCACCGTTATGCTATTCGATGATCCACGACGAGACCACGTTCGCGATTTGTACTTGTCATTTCGCTTTCTACGATTCGCAATCCCCCGGCTAATGCACAACTCGTTACGATCTTCAGCGTGAAACCAGACGAAGAATCCTCTGATTAATCAAACTTTTTGCGATCTAAATCGCAACCGAGCGAACGATACCCCTTGCATCATAGAGATCGATACATTTGTTAGAAACGTTTCCACATTTTTTGTTTTTATTTTTTCCTATTTTTTTTTTTTTTTTCGCAACAACTGATTAACGTTGCAAATCAGTGAAATAAGTAACGCGATTAAATCTGTGGAAGAACTTTCTTCTTTTAACCAATGCTATGTATTTTTAAATTTTTTATTTTATTAGATAATTTGGTAATTGAAAACTTTGAAATCAATTATCTTATCACAAGGTGTACTTAATTTTAAAATTAAAATTTTCCTCTAATAAAAATTTTATAAATATGGTATTCTATTATATATTTTCATATTCTCAGAAAATTAACAAACATTTTTTTTAATTGAAAGCCTATTAATTAAATAATGATAAATGCAGAAAGAGAAATGAATCGACTAATCCAAGAATTCTGAATGGTATTGAGAAAGAAAATTCGAATAAGTGTCCAGGGTAGTGGAAGATCTTTCACATCTTCCAAATAAAAGAATAATTACTCGACAATAGGGCTTACTAGACATCGAAGAATTTGATTTACTTATATAATCAATTACAATATTCCATCCAACGTTCAAATTCTCACGACTTTCATAACCTTACGCAATGATGTTTAAGCGGTACGCATGACTTATGTAATGAAAATCGAATGTCCTTTTAATATCGCGCAATTCACTCGTAAAAAGACTTCATGACCTGCCCCTTCTTGTACCTCCTTTTCGATGCATTAAATTGAATTTTTTTTTCCTTTTCGGAGGAGATCAAATTTCACGCGGTTACTTGTAGCACATGATACACGTCAAATTTATCAGAGATGTACGATATGAAAAATGAATGGATTTCTTCAAGGAAATTTCGTTAAAAGGTATTCGAATGTGTCTCAGTAGCTAATTTCTTATGAAGATAATAATTGAGTACCTAACTATACATATTTTTCGATGACGATTGGAAGGCTTAGAAAAAATCACCCCTCTAATTTACTTCATGTATATCTAATCGCTATTAATAATGATATTAATAGCCGTCGTAGGCGGATTTATGTTGCTTGCAACGGAAGTGTTAATAATACGTTCACCGCCACGGTAGAAATGGCCATGTTTAACAGAACACGCTATTAAAATAATAAAAAATTAATTTTTCAACAGAAAATATTTCAATTTGCAATTTTCTGTTCTTAACATAATTCTAATAGTAATTAAAACTACCCTGGCGCGTCCACCTCCTGAATATCTGATCTAATAGCCATGTTTAACAGAACACGCTATTAAAATAATAAAAAATTAATTTTTCAACAGAAAATATTTGAATTTGCAATTTTCTATTCTTAGCATAATTCTAATAGTAATCAAAACTACCCTGGCCCTTTCACCCCCTGAATATTTCATCTAATTAAATTCATAATAACCCGATTTAAAAAGAAATACTCCTATTTCACCCTTAAAAATGATCTGTTCTTCCCAAGAAACTATCGTCCCATGCTATTTCACCCTCCTAAACTTCCTTCGCCCCTTCATCTTCGCTCAACGCCCAGAACCGGCGACCAGAATAAAAATCAACTGGCAGGGTCAGCCGAAAATTAAAAGAAGTGGTACCAGAGCACATATCTCAAGCGATTTGACCAGAATCGGGTGGTTACTCAGTCGACGTCACTTATTTCGGAACAGTCGGAGACACAATCGATGTCTCGAATCGAGGGCAGCAGCCGGCGGCTCGTTTAGAGAAAGGAAAGTCAAACGTGGATGCCAGTCTACGCCTCCTCTCCCTTCTTCTTCTTCTTCTCCCTTTTCCACGTGTTTGCCAGTTAACCGTTCCGTCGTGTTCTCTCTCACCTGGAGGTTGTTACCCACGAAGTATGGTTAACTTACCGTTCCCCTCCCCCCACCCTTCAACTTTACACAGTGCTTTTGGGGAGCTTTCCACCACCATCACCACCACCACCACCGTGTGGTCCCTACGTATTCGATAAAGAACTACACACGGTACAACGACAGGACATGAGCCAGGCTACCAAGCATTATATCAGACACTCGGTCAGTAAGTCTCTAACCAACAATCACTCGACATCAGCCAGTGGTCACTGACTGCACTTGGATAGTCAGTAGAACTGGCCGACTATTACACGAAAAACTTCGTCGAACACAGTGGTGGATCGGGTCAGACTCTCGTCACTGAAGTTGATTTATTAAACGAGTTTAATTTTTTTTATTTTTTCGGTTGTTGTTTATTTTATCAGAAATTTTTCATTAAATTTCGTTCGTTCGACGATCGTGACGCGAAAGAAAGTGTGCCGGAAGTGTGATTCCTGTTCCTTGGTATCTACGATCGAGCGACGATCCCTGCCACGATTTTCGTTCGGGTTCAACTAAGAAGGTTCATCAACGTGGAGCACGTGGAGGAAGAATGTACGGGTGAGTTACGGATACTCTTTCAACCCTCGAATCATCGGATGGGTGAAATTTGACTTGGAATTCTTTCTCCTTTGAATCTTATCAATTTTCAACCATTTCTAAAGTTGATTTAGATTTTCTCTCGTTTAACTGTAATCCTAAGGTACCAATGACCCACGTGGCATTAAACGTGTTCACCAGCAATAAAAGGTACTTTAGTAGAGGCACGTTTAAAACGATTCGTTACACAATGATCGCAAAAAAGTACACCATCTAACGTAACTATTACAGCACTTAAGGACCTCGTTGTAAGTCTGACCCTAATGCCTCTATTACTTTAAAAGATCATACCTACTCTTTGTTCCACGATTGTTTCTCCTGTATATTACCAGAAAGAAAGAACAGACTGAATCCTTGACACGTTTGCTACCAGTGTTATTGAAATTCATAGAACATTTTCGTTTTTAATTAAATAATATATTTTAAGACCATGCACGTTGCATGATGTCTCCTGGGGTTATTAAGATTGTGTCTCTCTCCATGGTCCGCCGTCCGAGGGTTAATCTAATCTTACCCCAGTCGCCTATTTCTCTTATCTATTTTTATATTGTATAATACTTTAACTTAATTTTCCTTTGTTTTAAAGCATATAAAAGAAAAATTCAAATCAAAGACGCTGGTAGCGGTCATGTTAATTATTCCAAAACATTCTAATTAAAACGAAGTTCAGAACAAATAAAATATCAATTTCATAGAAAAATATCTATTACTTTTACTATAGTTATAGCAGCATAAGTAGTAAGCTTCTCTCGTAAACCTGATCGTTGACACGAAGAGTGTGTTACAAATGGAAAGCATGTAAAATCGGATCTATCAGACGGATTGTATCAAGTAACGAGGAAAGTGAAAGGAGAATCCGCGGTATACGCAATGAGAAAGTGATCCACGATCTTTATTCCGATCGAGAACTCGCCGGTTCTTATCTCGATCGCGCTTGCACCACCTGATTTGAAAATCTTATCACCCTTCAATTAAATCGGCCGAATATTACCAATTACGATTTGATTATAGAAAATTGAGGCTTACGTTTCCTAGTTATTGCAAGAATGTCGAATAGCAGTGAAATTACTGAAATTACTGAAAATTAAGAAATTTTACATTTTTCTATTTTAAATCACAGGAATTATTAAAGTGCTTTTCTTTACTTTTTCTAATTTTCAATTTAACCCTTTCACTGTTACTGGTACCTATAGATGTTGGGAAAAAATCGCTTGCCCTGTGCTATAGGCGCCTCTAATCATCAAATTAATTTCACTAATACGTAATAGTTTAATTGTTGCACTATTTATCAAAGAATGTATGTTTTGCATCGAACTCTCTCGCGGCGAAAGGATTAATTCTCTAACAAATAACATTCCTCAGAATTCAATAAATTACATGCTCTCTGTGTTCAACTAATTAGTTTCGTTTATTAACACACACGCACACAAAGGGAAAACAAATAAAATACCCTCGATTATGTAATTGTCTAATTCACCGAGCGTAAAGTGCTCCAAGTAGATCTTGATACCATTCGATAAGCAAAGACGTAAGTTACGTCTATCGGTTCGCTTCGAATGCCTGTGGTTATCTACATTTTTTTCTTGATTTCCTCCAAGCGAAACTTCTTTTTGAGTTTTCAGCTTTCGCTGACTTCCAACGCTGCCGCTCGATTTCTTGCGTTCCTCGATCCGATTTCACGTCGTTACGCGGTTAGAATACTGGGCCAATTCGCGTAATTCGTCCGGATAAAATGGCCATGTTCCTTTATACAAAACGAATCGAGGAAACAACCAAACGATCTTGAGCCTTGAAAAATAATTAACACTGGTGCGGGTTCATCGAGAGCACGGTTTTAATTAAACAGGAAAAAAGTTACCCTTTTGGTTTAATTAAAAAGAAATTATTTAAAAGGCGAGACATAAGTATAATAAATATAGCATAATTGCAATTAATCTATAATTAACCCTTGGGCAGTGGAAATTTTAATTTTAATCGCCTGAGTCACGATTAACCCCCAAATGGATCACAGACTGATCTTGCATCCACCCTGCACGGATTGATCTTCCTATTATTTTTCAAAAAATAATATCATTTTTATTATTACAAATATGCGTTGTTTTTCGTTGAATCTATGTTTCTATGAACGATTTCCTCGGGGAATAAAAGCGTTTGGGTCTCTGTTCGCAAAAGATTTGCATAAAAGTGAAAGTTGTTTTTGCGTTAAGAAAAATTAGTTCCATTAAAGTCGAGTGAATTTTTTCGTCCACGGAATTAGAGTTCTATGCTGGAAAACAATATTTCTACCAACCTATCAATAATCATAACGATAAAAATAAAATAGCTTAAAGTACCGTCGCATTGTTTTGGTTTCGATCAGCTTGGAATTCGAATTCTCTCGCTTTTCCTTCAAAATTTCGATATATCAACCAAGTTTTTTGAAATTTCAATTCTTATATTTTTATCTTATTGCATCTTCCAAAAATTTTCAGTGTTGCAATTTAGATTTCGATGCTTAAGAATTTGAATAATGTTATTTTTAGTTAGAAGTTTGAATCCTTTCGCCTTTTTATTCGAATAATCTTCGAATCCGAAGATATTTCTTTAACCATGCAGGAATATGTACTTACAAAAACAATGAACAATTCTTGTGTCAATTACATAAGAAATGGTGGAATATTCGATTCGATTTTATCTCTATTTCTTCTTATTCACCTTGCGTTCTTTGCACTCCGTTCACGAATGAAACGTGCCAATAAACCGGTTGCAATACATTCAATTTCATAAGGTCTATTAACCAATTGCCTTCAATCAAGGACTCTAACTGTATAAAATTTAAGGAATTCCTCGTGAAATCCATCGAAACGTCATAAATCTTAAGGATACGATGAAAATAAATTAGAATTTCACAAACTCTCGATGCCTACTTGAATTCCGATTCTCAAGCACTTTATGGGAAATATAGACAAGTTAGATCATTCGTTAATAAAGTAAAAGTATGGAAAAACCGGAATTCTTAATGTAGAATCTGTTTAATAAAAGTGAATTCCATCTTAGTTAAACGAATTTTGTTTTTGTCAAAGTTCGAATTAGATTTGGTATTTCTATATTTTGTAAAAATAAAAAAATTTACACAAATCAGTTAATTCTTCAACAAAATTGCTGACCATCAGTGTAAACAAAAGGCAAGACGAAGTCTGTTTAAAATTGTATCGCTCATCTTTCGAACAATTGTCGGTTGCAACTCAGATAAAAGATATTAAAACAAGGTATTCACGTTTTGCAACTTGATTGCTTGCTCGTGTTAGTGCATCGTCGAAAAATAAGCACGCTTGTTACGATAAAATCCAAGGTGGGCACGATCTTGATGCTTTCGCTTCTGCATTTGTAAAATGATACCTTGAATTCTGACGCATCCTCGATTCTTTCGAAAAATCATGGAATTTCATCATTTGTTATTACATTTCATTCGTTTCCAAATTATGTAACCAATCATCGACCGAAAGTGTACAACAATTATATAAATTGTTTGTACAGGGGGTTATCACACCATCGCGCACGATAATGAATTTTTTTCCATGATAATTGAATAATGCAGATCCAATCGCGATAAATTAATCATTAAAAATATTTTCTTTTCGCCGTATTTGTCGATGCTTCTGATTACATAAAGGTGTGAAAATATAGGAAGTCGTTTGTCTTATTATAAAGTTACATTAATTAATTAATGATTCATTCTTTTTCGAATTGACACGTGAAAATTAATCATACTTTTCTTTTATTTCTCACATAGCATAGTGTTCCTATCTCACTTCTAGATCTAGTTCACAATGGTAGAGCGAGATAGGAAGAAAGTTACCTTTCTCCCCTCGAGATATTAGCACTAGCTATTCTAGCAATGTAAACTAGGCCTTAGGGTATAATATTTGCCCTCGGCAGTGGTCGCCTAAGAATTACAATTTCTCTTTTTTTATTTGAAAACAGATATCACTGTACAGGGTTAACTGGATGAAAATAGTTTCGAGCAATAACGTATCCTAACGCCAGAAAAATGATAATCACCGCTGTGTCTATAATGTTACAGATCCGTGATAAGGCGGATACGATCCGCGATAATCGGGCTCCTGCTGCTACTAGCGACTTGGAGTAACGAGCACAGCTGCAGCGGACTGCAATATCAACCCGCCGAGGTTTATGCAAACGGCGATGATTGTGCCTTGATCTTAAACCGTCCAGGAAGAACAAACGTCTTCGATTACACGTACAATTTGCTCCGTGGATCCTTGTAAGTGAACGAATTACTCCCTGAACGGGCTTGTTTGACGCAACTAAAGCGAACTGCCTTCGGGCGAGGATTCTTTTTCAGCGGAATCAAACTATAAATGTGTCTGTATTAGCCTGTTGCGACACCCTCGTTACGACATTTATTACAATTACACACCGACTGCATTGCATTCTGTATTTGGAAATTTAATTGCTCCTACCGTGTCGATAATGGAATAAGAAGAATGATTGAATTTGAGAAATAATTATTTTTTAAAAATTCAATGCTTAGAATTCACTTCAATTACGAAAAGTAATTACAATTTTTAATTAAGAAGAAGCTTAACCCTTTTTTTTAATATCATTGTATATCATACAATCACCTGTACACCATGTTTAAAACCTTAATTAGCAACCGTTATTAAATCCTCTAATTTGCCGATAGTACAATCAAACGATCGTCCAGTTGAAGCCCGTGTTTCGCGATATTTCCTCGTAGCGATCTTTCACATCGATCACGAGGTGTTTCATTAAAACGGCCACGTGCAACTTATAATTACATCTTTCGGGAGATGGTTTTACGTTAACTCGAAGTGAACCGAATCAAGCAGCAATTTTATGTAATCATCGTGAGAGCAGTGCTAGTGTAAGATTTTTGAGGTACGGAGAAAGCAGGAACAGCGATCCGAAGTAATATTAGCCAGGACTTTCACTATCCATCTAACCTTTATTCCTGCAGGATCTGCTCAACGAGCAAATCGTTGATTTTATATGAAATTACACTTTCAATATTCCCAGTCGATATCGTTTCACGTGTGATTATGGAAAGTAGGGATATCGATTTGAAATCAATAGAAAAGTATTATTTTAAATGGCAGTGTTATTGACAAGATAGAAAATAGAAAGCTTGAAATTTGAAAATGAATTATTCCTCTTCTTGGTAATTAGAGTTTCAATATATCTTGAATGAGACAGAGATGTTAACGATGAGAGTAATATTGTTTTTATCGAATCTAGTCTGTATTTCCTGACAGAGTGTATTACCGTCGAGAAAGGAAGCGATGAATTATTAATAAGCCGATAACAAGGGAGCAGGTCTTGATCAAGTTGATTTCAAAGTTACATTGCTCGTAATTAGAATACAAAGGACGTTTACACCGGGGTCGACGAGCCTAGTTCTACTAATAGGCAAGGAAAGATCAAGGAAATCATAATGAGAAAAGACTAATGTGATTGTCTTCATTAATAACTCCTCGTTTTACACGAGTGGGGTTATGCGACATAGATTCTCAAAGATGCGAGGATAAAAAAGGTGATTTTGACGAATAAATTCGAAAGTTTTCATCTGGTAAAATTAATCAGTTAAATAAAAAATATCTGAAATTTTCTACTAACAATTGAAAACAATTAAGTTTCTAATTGAATTTCTGATATTTTTTCTCTGATTAAAAAAGAAATAAAAGAAAAATCCTCGAATTAAATGATAAAAGAAAAATACTAAAATTACTTAAAATTCATAACCACCGTCGATTACTAATTAAATAAAAAATGCATGGTAATGAAACGGGAATGACGTAACGAGCAGGGATGGAAAATTCAACGAGAAGGCAGAAAAGAATTAATTACCCATCGACTAAAATGATAAATGAACCAAGGACCGTTCGCAAATTTGTAAAACACCTGTGAAATTAATTTATTAATACCTCCCCAAAGTGATCACGAAATTCTGTCGGTTTTAACGAGCCACAATTGCGGTTGCATCGTGCCGCTGCAATTATGAGCTTCAAATTACTCAAGTGTTCTGATGCATCACTTAGCGATTGAATTTTTTAATCGCGAAAAATCTGTCATGGTTCATCATGATCCCTTTGCTGCTAATAAAACACATCGTCGTGAATCTCGAACTTCGAAAGACTTAGCAAGGATAATCAGAAAATTGCTCGCGATTAGCTTCGATCCTATAACTATAATTGATTGGTCTTCTGCGATTACAAGTACCTAGAGCTTGAAGAACGGTGATTTAAACCTGACAATTAGCAAAATACTAATGAGATAAAATGAGGGTTACATTTGCTAACCCCAGTGAAAGCTAGATCAACGTGCGTTTATGTGGTTACAATATTTTTGCACGATAAGACTGCTGGTGGAGCAACGGACCGACGCAAAGAATTCCAATTCAGAATTGTTTATTCACGGTAGAATGATCGCGATTAATTGCACGGTGGTTTTATTAATTTATTTAGAGTCGAAATCGATGGAGAATGAAGGGAAAATTTATTCTGATAACAATACAATTGAGGATAGCACGATCTGTGAATTAATTTATAATCAAATTAATCGAAAAATTAGTAATAATAAACGCGGTGAAATCAGTCTGGTACAAAAAGGTGACAGAAAAGCTGTGATAATTTAATTCCATAAAAAGAAAAACTATCTTTACAGTTATCGATACTACCGTTACTATTATTCAGCCTTGTATATCGATACTCTGTCAGCTGATACTGAATGGAATGAGAAATCTATAGGTTGTGCAACTAATACACAGATCGTGTTCCTAGTTTTCTTAAGTGTGTATACCTTAAGGTGGTATAACTTTTCAACTTGCATACTATAAATACGATTCGTGCCGATTAGTTTCAATGTAGGACATAATTGAAGGTACGGTAGTGAGAGGAAGTACTTTCGATCGGAATGTTATGGCGAGAACATATGTAAAAGGATCGTTTTCGAAAACTTTATTCAAGATTTATATCAGACTCACCGAGGACCGGATATCGCAGCTGGGTCTCAAAATCGCAGCACCCAATGCTTCCGGTTGCACCCTGTATGCACTTCGTATGCACTTATTCTACGCAAAACCGATGTAAAATAATAACGCGAGACGTTTACAGGAACGTCTTCACCGTGTCACGAATAACAAGCAACTGATCGGTCTCGACATTGTCCTTCGAAGATTCCGAACTTCTATGTCGGAAGAGGTCAACAGACGATTGTGTACGCTTGAACGTAGCTCGCTAAAGTTTACCCTCGAAGCCTCTTGAAACAGAGGCTTACACATCGAATCTATTTTGTATGTGCGATTATAAAGTAGATATTCAGTTATCATTTATAATTAATATTTAAGTACGAAAATTAATTATTGAATATTGCTCAAAATTAAATATCATATTTTTTAATATAATTAACTAATCCTTTGATGCTTTATAACAAATTAAATTTACTAATAATCATTGAATTATATTATTGATGACTGAGAATCTTAAATTCGATGTGGTAGAATTTTTCCTCGTTTATGTAAATTAAATACCATATTTTTTAATATGATTAACTAAGCTTTTGAAGCTTATACAATAATTTACTAATTTACTAATAATTTACTAATAATCATTGAATTATATTATTGATATTAGAGAATGACTGACAATCTTAAGTTCGATGTGGTAGAATTTTTCCTCGTTTATGTAACGTGAGCGTGGCTAAAACGTCTTTGTTAAATCACATCTAAAAGTACTTTCTACCCAATTTAAAAAAACTGCTCTCGACCAATTTCGTTACGTTGAATGTACGAAATGTAGCTCATGTAAACCATCAAAGGCAGAAACGTGTTTCAAGCGTGACTTCTCCTTTTATGGGTCCTCATAGCCAAACCAAATGTGTATACAGAGAAATTGTCTTTAACCCAACTACGTATCCGGTTCTTAACAGTGATCGTTGTAAAAAAATATATTCGAATAAATTAAATTACTTGGGAAAAAATTTACGAAACTTTTTGGGTCTATGCAAATTTCAGAATAAAAATTATTGCTATCGCTAATTAGTTAACGAATGAATCATGTTTTTCCAATATTCTATTTCAATAAACTGAAACGAGAATTTCAACCTCACCACCTCCAATTTACCAGAGAATTGACATAATAATTTATTAAACACAACCGCACGTAGCTCGTTAGAGCTGCAGTTATGACGCGAAATTGCGCGAGAATGCACTTTGTTACAATTAAACGCAGAACGGCCCTCAAGTGCATTCTCGCGAATACTTTCAGCGTGCACCCATTACTCTATTTAATAACGATTGCGACAGGATAATTTGTGAGAAAATACCGCTCAGAGGATTTCGAGATACAATTTACGAACACCGTGTAGGTTGGAAGAATGTTGATCAACTTCAACGTTTGATTGATCCACAGAACACGAGATCAACTGTTCGTTAGAAAATAAAGCTAATTAAAAGTTTGAAATAAAATTTCAACTATCTCAATGACTGATGATCAAAAGAGAAATTGAATCTTGTATGATTGATACGAAAAGCAAAAGGAACCCAGAAGAAACCGCCGGGGTCATGCGTTGAAGGTAAAATCCACGAGTGGCACGTCAATGCCAGTATGTTTCTTTACAAGAAACAGGATATGTCAATTCGCATGGACTCACGGTTTGCATACTAGTTTCGGATTACCTTGATACAGAATATCCTCGAGCACAGAGACGAGTAAATGCGTGCCTTTCGTACTTTAACTTCTCATGAAACTAGGCTGGAACGTTAGGTAATTGACTCGAAAAAGGAACAACGAGAGGCTCGGAAAGGTGAAGAGAAAGAGAGACAGCGAATAAAGACTGTAAATAATCTACACGCAGCGGAAAACTGCGCAATTTAGCCTGTAAAGATGTGTCTTTCACAAGGGATCAACCATTTTATATTAAAAATACCAATGAAACCCTTACGTTATAATTTTCTTCAGATTTTAAGCTTTACTCTTGAACAGAAAGTCTAGGTCAATCGAGACCAAAACTTACAAAAATATGTAAAAGTATATTAACCTAAAGTTAAATATATAATAATTTTTAAAGAAACAATGTAAAATTTAGAAAATGAAATTAAATAAAATTGGAGCTCTCTCCAAGGTCCAACGTTTTGGGGCTTCTCTTCATGGTCCGCCGTCCAAGGGTTAATTAATATAACACAAGAAGAATTTTGAAATACTTTTATGTATTCGTTTCCTTTCTTTCTCTCCATTATGTGATTGTTTTAAAAAGCTTTCCACTCCTTATTTTCGTTTCTAATTTAATATTCCGGTAACACCAATCGTTATCTTTATTTTTTAGCTGGTAAGTGGGCCACGAGCTCACAGAAACAGTTACAGGGTGGGAAATACTGACGGGAACGACGTCGGTCTCCCATCCCTTACTCATTGCAAAAAAAAAACAAGAATTTTGAGATACTTTTTTGTTTGAGAAAACACTTGTCGCTGTCGAAAGAAACTTATTACCCAATCGAATATATTTCAATCTGTCGTTAAATTCATTTATATCGTGTTTCAGTACACCAGCAACAGCATCGCAGACGTGCATCACCTACGATGCTGTGAATCGCGCCTACGTGGAAGCTAGAAAACGCATCAGTGAGTGGCTCTTTATTACAATGAAAGCAAAAAGAAATGCTAATTACAAAGTAACACGTAGCTCGATGATCGAATATATGTCGCTAAACTCTCTGTTCGCGATCTCACGTTTCTAACTATTACATACTCATACATATCCTCGGCTACAAGCTGCTCTTTTGTTTGGCCGATGCTCGCGTTCACCATGTTCACCCACACGTTTCGTCGATTCATGCAGATGTGGCGCAACCGAAAGGCAAGACATGGCGGCCAGAAGACCTGGCCACGGTCGGCGAACTCCTCCTGGACATCACATCGAACCTCGTGCAAACGTAAGAACCCCTTTCGCTTTTAATTTACCATTCAATTAGAAGGAAACTTTACAGTAATCGCAGCACTAGTTTCATTTGATGATCGTTAGAAAGTTAGGCCTGAGGATGTTTCGTTAAATTGGGATCGGTTAATTAGGCATTTTACACTCTCTGCTAATTCCATTTCCACTGATACTTTCTAACGCGTTCAAACCGGGTAACATCATAAGAAGCCCTACTGAAAACGCCGAGTTTTTCTAAGTTAGGACAACAGTTTAAAAGCTATATGAGAAATGAAGAATTTAAAGGGTCCTAAAGGCCCATAGCTCAGTTAGACAAATTTTATCACTCTCAAAGGGTAATTAAATCTAATCATCGCAGGTACGGTTTAACAGTCGACGAGATCGAGAAGAGTCTACCCCTAATCGACACATCGAAGACCTTGATTCGAGAGGTATGCCCAGCCTTTTTGAGCAACGTGGAGTGCCGAGCTGGGAAATACCGAAGAAACGATGGTCTCTGCACGAATTTGCAAAATCCAACATGGGGTTCCACTTTGTCACCCTTCCAAAGGTGAAACATCACTGTCAACCCCTCGTTAGACAATGGATTTTAATCTAATTTCTTTTTTGATAAATTCTTGTTTCTTTTGTAGACTTATGACTCCACGATTCTCAGACGGTTTAACGGCGCCCAGGATATCGGTAACCGGCCATGATTTACCATTATCACGAGTGGTGTCGCGCACCATGCACCCTGACGAAGGTTATCACGATCACGCCGGCACTGTTATGGTGATCGCCTGGGGACAGTTTATGGACCACGACTATACGTTGACTGGGACACCTCTAGGTATGATTCCAGACACGATAATTGTTAAACTATAACAGTATAATTTGTGTATCAAGATATTAGATTATTTGGAAAGTCTTACGAGTAAACCACCCCTCATGAAATTTATATTATGTTCACCGTTTTTCAATAATTCCACGGTGTAGTAGATACAAAATATGTTCAACTTTGAAGACATTTATCCCCATTAATTTTATACGTATCAGAAGATGACGAAAAATACATGAAATAAGTGGAGATAGGGAAAGTAATCGAGTTCTAATTTTCAGTCAATAGCAAATTATGCAATTGGTATCGGTTAAATTACATCAGCGTACCCCGTTCGGGGACGTTCGTACATAGCAAACGTATAGTAGACAGCTCCCAAGCCCTTCTACGTCGGATATTTACCGTCTATCGAAACTAGGGTAACTACCAGAGAAAGCGAACGATCGGTGAACAGATAACCGGTAGGCCGATCATGTGACTACCGTGAAGTTTCCACGGGCCGTGCGATACACGCCAAAATCCGCGCTCTTGCCCTGGAACCTGGTAATTACCGGCGCAACACGTATAAAGTAATTAAACGGACGGTTCTGACGAACAGAGAAGTCTAACTTTAATGAAGCTCTTAAAAAATGTAGCATGTTTCTTTCGATTTACAAACGAATCCCATATTATAGGGGAAATATATTTAAAAGTTTCCCAATTATTTGCTTCTGAAATTTTTCGACTGTTCTAAAGTCTATTTAAAAGAAAAATTAATAGATTATTCCCAGCATCGTTTATCGCTTCTGGCCAATGCACCCACGGCAAGAAAATCTTCCCACGTATCGTACGGGAAACGATAGGTATCTGTATCGAGACAGGGAAAGTAAAACTCCGTTGGTAGTCTTGCGGAATTAAAATAAATAACGATACATCAAGCGGTGCTGGTAAGCAGTGCTATCGTATGATCGATGAGCTACTCTTGCAGATCCCCTGAACCGAAACGACCCGGAGGAATGTTGCCATCGACCACCGCACCTGAAGAATCCTTACTGCAACGAGATCCTCATACCGGAAGATGATTACTTCTACAGGCTGTTCGGCGTGAAATGCATGGACTTTGTTAGAGCGTTTCCCGCCGTTCGACCTGGATGCCGTCTTGGATCTCGCGTGCCGTTTAATCTTCTGACAGGAGTGTTGGATGGGAATACGGTTTATGGAATTAACGAAGTATTTGCAAGGTAAAACGGTTTTCCTTCGATCGAACTGTTTCTTAATGTAAAAGTAACAGGCGTTACTTGGGCTTCGTCATCGTTTTACCATCTTCTTGTAATTAACGCTGTCATTGGCGTAAGTAGAGAGTAGGTTTGGTTCCTACACCATCCTGGGATTTTAAGATTCTAAAATTCTAAATATTAAGGATCCAAAATTGTAAGATTTTAAGATTCTAAAATTCTATAAATTAAGGAATAAAAATTCTAAGATTCTAAAATTCCCAAATTCTCAAATTCCAAAATTCTCAAACTCTCAAATTCTCAAATTCTAAAATTCCAAATTCCAAATTTCAAATTCCAAATTTCAAATTCTAAACTTCTCAGGTTCCAAAATTCTCAAATTCCAAATTCCAAACTTCTCAGATTCCAAAATTCTCAAATTCTCAAATTCTTCCCCAAAATTTCGCGAAATGCAAGGTACCAAACCCTTAATACTGTTAACAAAGCTAAAGAACCTAGCCCAGCCTAGAAAAAATCCTACTTACGCCAATGTTCGTTACAAAGAATTGTCATTTTGCACGTCACAAAATGACCAGTTATCAAACTAAAATAAGTAGATAATAATAAATAACATGTTCGATAATCGAGCCACTTGCAACACGGTGTTCGAAACAACTAAAAGCCGTTCGTCCGTTCGTTACATCAGCGAGGACAATAAATCAGCATTACGTTGTTCTATATTTTCTAACGCAGGGTACCGTACATACGTTCAGTTCCTCGCACTTTCTAGTCTGCTCGCATTATGAGATCCACGGTTACTCAATCGAGCTTAACACAGCGTTCTCTTTCTCCGCGTCGAATAAGGCGTTCCAGGAGACAAAATTTCCGGACACAACACGCCTCCGATCCGAATTCAAACATCCTTTTGTTCTTCGCTTGGTTTCAGGAAACTTCGAACCGGTTACGGTGGTTTGTTACGCATGAACCCGGTGTTCTCGGAATACGGGCTAAAGGATTTACTCCCGCTCAAATTGGACATCCCCGACGAGGGCTGCACACGTTTGAACCGATCCATGTACTGTTTCGAAGCAGGTGAGTCTTTTGGAATGAAAATTAATCTAAGAGACTTGTTAACCCTTGGACGACGGACCAGGAAGAGAACCCCAGTTTCAATTCAATTTTGTATTGCACACTGTTTCCATTTTTTTAATTTTATGCTAATCTTTTAAAATTATTCTTCCAATATATAAAAATGATATATTTAACTAAAATTGCAAAAAAAAAAAATAGATTGAATGATGGTCCAATCAATTTATCAAGTGAAACGAGGTCACTTGTGAAAACGATCATAGTATTATCATATTATTCACAGCAAAGTAGTGTCGAAATTCGCATACCCTTTGCTGTCAAATCGAAAAACGTTGATAGCCGTTCGATTATCGGCTCACAGCTTGATGTGCAATCGAGAAAGGGAGTGGTCCAGAATCAAGGTCGACAACTTCATTGGCAAAGTTGATACAATGATCGGGAAAAGAAAGAGCTGCTCGTTCGTGAGCGATTGTTGCGTCAAATTTGTCTGGTCGCGTTTTATCCGTGAGAAATCTAACGCTGCCCCCTTTAAATTCTCCTTGATCGATATAAAATGAAACTATAATATACATATATCAATGTCTCGATAAATTCATTTTTATCTTTAAAATAAAGAAATCAAATTACTTTTCGATTGACATAAAATCAAATCTCTTTAAAATGAATAGAAAAAACTGATTAACATTATGAAATTTTGTTTTCAGGTGAAATTCGAGTGAACGAACAGCTAGTGTTAACTTGTATGCACACACTGATGGCACGTGAGCATAATAGGATCGCGAAAACGTTGATTCAAATTAACCCACACTGGGACGACGAGACTCTGTATCAAGAATCTAGACGAATAGTGATTGCTGAAATTGAACACATCACTTACAATGAATTCCTGCCTATTTTGCTTGGAAAAGATGTTATGGAGAAATTTGGCCTTCTTCTGGAGAAAAACGTAAGATCATATTTAATTTGCCAGCCCTGTCACCATAAGCGATGGATTCCTTTGAAAATTCAAGCTTCACCTCCCACCCACGTATGGGTGATGTTACAGTCAAAGTTTTAATGATTTTTAATTTAATGAAAAAGTATTCAGTGTTAACAATCGTGTACACAGGGATACTGGGATGGTTACGACGAAAGTGTGAATCCAGCAGTGATCGATGCTTTTGCTGCTGCAGCGTTCAGATTTGGCCACTCTTTACTGCCAACAGCAGTGGAAAGATGGAGTAAAGCTCACAAATTCATAGGTAAATTAAAAGAATCCTGTAATTAGTTACTTGCAATCCAATATCCTTCTATGATCATGTGACTAAAATTTGTCTTTTTTCTAAAGCTTCGAAAAGACTGTCTGATTTAATAAGAAGACCCTTCGACCTGTATCGAGCTGGTGTTTTCGATGAATACATTATGGGACTGATGAATCAAGTCGCTCAAGCTATGGACGATTCTATCACGCAAGAGGTACGAAGCGTTCCTGAGAGACTTTTGAATTAAATTGAAAGAAACAGAGAGTACTTTACGCGTATCGATTCCACAGGTTACGAATCACCTGTTCAAAAAAGCCGGTGCGAAATTCGGACTGGACTTGGTCTCCTTTAATATGCAACGTGGCCGCGAATTTGGCGTTCCAAGCTACATGGAGTTCAGGTTGGCAAACACTAGTTAAATTATTATTTCAAAGAAATGAAACGTGCCCGGAAATTAACTGTTTTGGAAATGTCAGATTTTACATTAACGACATAGGTACTTCTACTTGATTTATCATCGTAAATGTCACCGAAAAAAATAGAAGGTTACTTAAAAATACTCTAAAAAAGATATTTATAAAGAAATTTCAATATTTCCAAGATGAATTATTTCCTGCTTTGGTTCTTTTTTTTTTGTCAAGAATTACATACGACTATAAAAATCTCATTTCCTTAAACATTTGCCCATCTTTTGCATTAAAAATGTATTAACAATTGAATTTGTTTATTCTACAGAAAATTCTGTGGCCTTCCCTGGGCAGACACCTTCGATGATTTACATGGATCCATGCCAAATGAGACTATCAAAAGATACAGTTCAATCTTTGAGTGAGTAGTAATTAGAAAATTATGCCCTTAAATTTATTAACAAAGGAATTCTGAAATAATCTATAATTTAGAAAATAAAAATGAAATAGAATTCAATGTATTAATCCTCAGACGGCGGACCATGGAGAGAGCCCCTATTTTATTTTCTAAATTTTACACCATTCCCTTAAAAATGATACATTTTACTTTAGATTAATGTTCTTGTATATATTTTGTAAGTTAGGGTTGACCCAAACTCCACTGTTCGAGGGTTAATTAATATTCTAATGAATACCTATATCTAATCCTTGACTGAAATCTATTTCGAATCAATTCTATGACGTGTCAGCGTAGTTTCGAGATTTCGCCAACCGAATTCCCGGAAATAACGGTACGATACCCCATCGATTTCCAGGCATCCAGCTGACGTGGACCTCTGGTCCGGTGGCGTGTCCGAAAGACCGCTTCCGGGTAGCATGCTCGGTCCAACCTTCGCCTGTATAATTGCCACGCAATTCAGCTATTCACGTCGAGGTGATCGATTTTGGTACGAGCTGCCGAACCAGCCATCGTCCTTCACTCTCGGTAAGGAACCTTTCGAATCGTACGATTCGACACACGCCAAGGACTCGGAACGAATAGAACACTAATAAACAGAGTTCTACGACACGTACGCAACTTTTCAATTCGTACGCTTTCAATTTTATAGAACAACTGAACGAGATACGAAAAGTGAAGCTGGCCAGGGTAATCTGTGACAACACCGACTTGATAGACACCATACAGATTTATCCCATGGTGTTACCTGACCACGAGATGTAAGTTCTGATATTAAAATTTAATAACATAAAGGTATTACAAAATAACACTTATGATATATCAAATTAAAGCTTAAAACATGAAGAAGATAGTTTTAATTTTGATAAATTTTTATTGAAAAATAGGAACCTCTAAAGTGAAGTAAAGTTATGATTGATTCGAATAAGCAGCAATAAAAATGTATGTTTTTAAAAATCTCGAGTAATTTTATTGATAAAAAAAATTTGATTCTTAGAAATCCACGAGTCCCGTGTCGAAGCGGTGTATTGCCAAGCATGGACCTGAGCAAATGGGCGGAATATCCGACTGCGAGTCACGCTCAATACGTGAGTAATCTAGAGGAGCAGTATCAACCGTACGGAAAGTAAAACGGCTGTTTTTTAGAAGTAAAACAAAAAATGTAGTGACCGCCTAGACGAACACCACCACTGTAGTGAACCAACAGTCACGAGCCAAGAAGCACCACCCTTAGGCACCCTTAACTCGAGACACATTACGGTACTGTAGCATAGCAAACTGTAGGACCGTCTGCACCATGCATTTTCAATCAATTTAGGGACACAAAGCAGACGAACGTAATACAGAGTACAGAGTATAGTTAGCCTCGAATAGACCCTTTAGAGCGACATTTTAATTAATTCTATTCTCTTAGAGACACTTAACTTATTGCCTTAGCAAGATTTATAATTTATATACGATTGAGTATAAATTATAACTTTCATTTGTAGTATCTCTTTCTCTTTTAGGTCTTCTTATTTTTTTTTTTGTTTTTTTTTACCACTTTTTTATACGATTAACTATTTTTAAGATTTACCCATTCTATGTTACGGTTTGTAGTGTACGTAGGTGTTGCAGAAAAGAGTTTTGAAGTTCATAATTTTCATTTATTTTCAAAATCATTTATAGCCAATTAATATAAAATATTGATACCTATCGCAATACGAATCAACTGAATACAAATCAGTGAATACATATGATCATTTTTTCTTTTCGTTCATAAAAGCTTGTAATTCATTTTCTGTAACACTCTGTACAGAACATCCTGAAAGTACACGATCGTGAAAGTTTAGGTAAACTTGCCAGTAATGTTAAACTGCAATACGCGAAGTTTACATAGAACGATTCCAGGCCGATTGCTTTGGGAGTAGATAGTTCATATAATAATAGAGCGTGTTCAATTGTGCCCGTGTTGCATTACAATCGAAATGCGTCAGATCGAGAAACGATACACACTTTCATTCGAGTTTCATCGTTCTAGCTAGTTCTGGTTAGAGTTACCTATAATAGAAATAATTGCTGTACGAATGTAACAACGGTAGAGTATCGCGTGTTAAATGAATACGTCCAAATACCTGTCGAATACTCTTAATATCGCGATAGAGAATCATCTTGCCTAGTTTTCTAACTGATCAAGAAAATTTGGTAAATTTCACACTTGGCAAAATTGAAAAATTCATCTATGTTAACCCTCTAAAATTTCTTTTTCATTGTAAATTATAAACTAATGAAACAAATATAGTATCTTAGAATTTTTATTGAAAATTTCAGTTGCAGAGGGTTAAACCAATTTGTACCATTCTTTCAACGATTTCCATACATGTATGCGATAAATGAAAGCGAATCTGCTTGTTACGAAAAAATCAACAAATCTTTCAACGATAAATCTTCACGCTCTTGTTTCCCCGAAATCAAAATTCTCCCTTTCCGTCTACGTTCGATTTTTAATTTATTACAACACACACGAACACAATGTACATAACTACAGCCTAACATTCATTCACAATAGTTGATACGAGGTGGGTAGCACGTTTTCTAGCACTGCTCGTTCTCTAGTCTTACCTCCTCCTTTCCTTCAACGAACACCCCCGAAAAAAAAAAAAAAGAAAAAAGAAAAAAAAACGAAAGTAAACTAGAAAATGCAGAGAGAGGATTGGAAAAGTGCCCAAAATAAAGATTGTCCCTTGTCAAGGATTATACGATACGCACCGACACCATACAAATGTTAAACCTATTGTACCATAGCGATTGGTGGAGGAGCACTTGCTTGACGTACCGAGACGGCCGAATCGACCGGAAAGGGTGCGGAACCAATACAACAGGGAGCAGGTTTTACGACTCTTCTATGAAAGCATTAACGGCATTGCTTCGTATCTGGGATTCAGAAAATAATTCAGTGCACGAGGAACGGACTTGGTTGGAGCATCGATTGCACCGAGATTTGATAAACGGCAATGTTTATACCTGTCGTTTAAATCGTGACAGAGAGAGATTGTCGTAAATAGAATTGTTCTGACGATCGTTGCGTTTATTCGATTTACGTAGCGGATCCTTGTAATCGTGTACCGACGAGAAGAGAAATAAATATTTTTGGTTCACACCCTCGCACTGTCGCGCACGTTCTAGCACCTTAAGGCACCTTGCTATACGATGTTGAAGAACGAATCGAGAAGGTTGAAGATAGTGTAACGCAGATACATCGATATTCCTACATATTGTGATCTTGTTCGTTTGGTATATTAATTTCAAGTGTGAGTGAAATATGGTAGATAGACAAGAAGACACGGAATTTTAAATAAAAAATCTGTGTTTTAATATAATTTGTAATTAAACTTTGAAAATTTTTATTTTTCAAACCCGTCAATATCGTATTAGTAAAAAAAAATTATGCACTTTAAAATATTTTTATCTATAGAGTGCGTCACTAGAGTGTTATATTTGTATTATCATTTCTTTTTTTTAAGCTTTCACCAATTGAAAGTTTATAGTTTGATATTATTTTGTATGAACTGATAATTCTTGATCTACCAAACGAACGACTATCACATCAAATATGGTAGAAGTACTTAGAAACATACTAGCATCGTTAAAAATCACTGATAAAGGCGCGAACACCCTTTTAACAATAAAAGAGATAAACTTCGAAGAATTCAATAATTTTATTCCTAACGTACCCTTATCGTGAAAAAAATTTTCGTTTATGGTTTGAAAAAGAAAAATTCGTGCCTTTAACAGTGCGAATCATCCCTAATAAAAGTAATATTTAGAGAAATAGCATTAAAAAACACATAGTAATTTATACGATATATCCACCTATCTTACTGTATCGCAATATTTCTTACATGCACCAGCTCACAAAAGTATAAAAAATTACTACAACATGAAGGTGAAAGAAATTTTCCATTTTTTATTTAAATACTTTTGTGAACCTATGTATGTATGTTCGTCGAACCAGTACGTTCTTTTATCCGAAATCGTCGTTGTAGGCGTATTTCCCACCCCCACCCCCCTCATATTCTTTAATTTTAATACACAAACAATAGAAAGGGCGTGAAAAAGAAGGTGTGCAGCGTGAATAACAGCACTTATCGCTTGAATTATTACTGTATTATCGTTTATCGTGTATTATACACGTGCACGATGGCTCAGGGAACAGGCTCGACGTTGCTGCGCTGATCTATTCGAACACGATTTCAATTTTCCAAATTTCACGGCACAGAAAAAGATAATCTTAAGAAAAAATGTATTTTCTGAGCCACTGTACACACTCAGTCCCCGGTTCTTTCTTTCTTTTTTTTTTTTTTTTTGATTGTATTTTGTACATAAGTACCGTGAACGAAATAAAGTCACATTAACAAGAGTGCCATTTATGGAACCTCCATCGGTTTTGTGAATTCTCCTTTCTCCACACGCACAATCGAGCGAAAAGCAACACGCTACGAGCCCAAATTCGGCGTTCCACCGATGGTACTATATTTCACACGCGGTAAGTTATTCGGCTAGCACAAGAAATTAATTACGATTTACCGAGCGGTCGAAAGCAAGAACGTCGCTTCTTTTAAATCACGATTGAGAAACATTGAGAATCTTGCGGAGATTTTTGCACTCGTATCATGTACCATACACGAAGTTTAAGGAGGCTTTAGAACTTGCGGGGTTGAATAGCACTATCGGAAAATAAACAGCGAAGATTATCAGGGTAACGAACCTTCAACATTTTCAGAGTGTTGACAAGGAGCAATTGAAATCGCCTCTCGTCGAACGAATGCCTATAAAGAAAATTAAGAAAACGAGAAAATATTCGAAGAAGACAGAGGAAAATTCTACGAAAGAATATAAAAAATACATGACGGATCAGAAATTAACTCCGCACCCTTTAATAAATAACGAAATTATTCCTGAGAAAAATGATACGAAAATAAATATATTGGAACGTTCGAAACGTTCGTCGAAGAGAAAAAGAGTCTTCAAAGTGTCGCCGGAGAAATTCTATCGTCATCCGAATCTTAGTTTCGAGGAACAGCAAAAGCAGTTTAATTCTTCTAATCACGAATTTTCATCCAGCGAAACAAGAAAACCCAGTTACGTCCCTGTTTTCATGAAATGCGAGGACACCGGTCGCTCAGAGGCGGATGACATGGTGAAAAGTACGGGAGAAAATTTGAAAAATATAAAGGAGAACGAAGAGAAGGATAGAAATGATTCTATGGCGAGCGAGAGGTCCGAGGACCCCTCGGACGAAACCAAATCGAAGAATTTGGTCGAACATTTAAATAAAACTTACATAAACATACGGGATCATCAGAAGAATATCGGGGAAACTACGGATATTCCGGAATACGATCCGAATAAAATTCCTTATGTGGAGGTTCCTGATTATTCCGACATAAGGGAGGAAAGTTTAGACGAGGAGGATCGTAAAGCTAATAAGAAAAAGAAGAAACAACAGAATGTTGATTTTGTTGATCCTTCTGTATCATTAAATATCGATGAACTTGAAAATAATAACGAGTATAATTTATCAAAAGGGTCCAAAAATGATTCAAACAAAAAGCAAAAGAATCCTAAAGAATCTGCTAAATCTTTGGATATTAATAAAGATATGAAAGAAAATTCGAAATCTTTAAATAAAAAAGATAAATTTGCAAATTTTCCCCAAAATTTAAGTATCAATTTTAACGATCGTGAATTAGAAATATTTAAAAACTCTAAAAAACCTTCTAAATCTTCCAGAATCGATAACTCTAAAAGAAATAAGAACGAATCCCGAAAGGATTCGAAACAGAAATCAAACGATTCAGAGAAATCTAGATTCAAGGAATTAGCATTTGACGATGAATCGGATAGAGAATCGCAGGGGGATCCAGAAGGGCAAGGTAAATCCACGAGTCCCATAATTTTCGATATAAACGAGTACAGGAAGCCGTTCGATCTAGACGAATTTCTTAAGGACGATCCGATAATGAAAAAGCTGGAGTCGCTCGGAAAGGAGACGTTGTCCAAATACGGAAAGAACGGGAAACGGGTTTCAGGTGACTTTAACGAATCCGAAAGTGATAATGCGCCCGAGAAACGATCAGGCACCATGGAGGAACGAGAGGACGGTGATTATTCCTCGAAATTGCGGCAATCGAACGATTTCGCGAAGACACTGACCGAAAGACACGATCAAAACAACGATACCGCGAAGGAACCTCGGAACAAGGTGAACCAAGGGTCGGAAGGCTCGAAACTTCTGCGATTCTTGTTTAAAGATAAAGATGAATATTTGACGAAACATCTCGAAGATGATATTATTAGAAACTTTCGAAAAGATGAAAAAAAAGAAAATGGTGAGATTGGTGTTTCAAGATTGAACGAGGATATCGATAAAGGGATCGAAACAGGAGACGAATCAGGACTCGTTTACAAAAATTTTTGGTCCTTGGAATTTAAATCCCCGCAGAAGAAAGTGGACATGGAAGCGCAAGAAAGGAAGAAATAGAAAAAATGTTAGATTTCCTTAGTGATGATTTGAAAAATCGTCTGCCATACATTATGCATAAACTCTTCGATGATAGTCGATTCCTTATTTTTCCTGTTTATTGTAAATATCATACTTTTACGTTCCTGCGTTTAGTACTTCATTAATAAAACGTTGATATATCAAGAAACCTGACAGAGTATTTTTTTACCATTCTTCAACGTAGATATAAATCAACGGGTAACGAAATCAAGGACGATAGTAATCGAAATTATCAGAGTATCCCGAGAAGAACAAATAAGACTTTATTTTAATCCTGAAGTGATTTGCAGAAATAATTATTTGGAAATTTTGTAAATTAGAGGAACAAAACATTTTTAATATTTCCTAATATTTTCTAAGATTTTCTAATTAGAATTCTCAATGGACCCTGGTTTTCACCTTTCTAGGATTAAAAATCCTTCGAATAATCCTTGCACTGTGGGTGGAGTCTGTTGTTTTCTCCGTTTAGCTACGTCTTCTTTAAGCAATTAGAATTACTCGAGTCTTGAGAAATACGCCGATCGATCGAAATTTCCACGGGAATCCCGTTGCGGGAGCGATTCCGAGTGCAGGAAATCGAAGGAATCGAATTAAAGGTAAAGATAGGCAGCGGGGTATCCCTCGACCGAGGGATGAATCTGGCCTCTACGGATATATAAGGCCGTCATCGTGCACCGCTCAGTGTCATTCGTCTGGTTTTATCAATTCCAGCAGCCTCGGCTCGATCGAAGCGAGAACGAACAGGTAAATATTAATAATCATAAACTTATATTTTCGCTCTTCGACAATGTTGAAGAGAAAAAAAGAAAAAAAGTATCACAATTACTTTGAGAACCGCTTCGTACGCGAGTGTCGATAACCGGGTCGCGAAAATCATTCTCGAGGTGGTCCTGTTTAAAACCGAGTCCTCGGGATACACAGACGTTTCCAACGATCGATTCGATCGGCTAGATCCGTGCGTTCACATCGATCGATCGGTCCTTGGTCTTGAATCTTCAAGTGCTTCCTGGAGAGAAGGAGAGGAGAGCAGCGGCGAGACGGAGAAGACAAGAGACACCTTCCATCCATATTTATTATCGTTTATGTGTTCACAATGTGTCCGTTAAGGAGAACGCGGAAGCACGATCAGCAGATTCCGGTTATATATGACTGTATTATATCTCTGTATATGTGTATACATATATATGAAAAAAAATAAATAAATAAATAAAAAAATAAAATAAGAAAGAAGGTGACCACCGACGTAGAATGAACACGAAGAGACGTCGCGAATCGAACGCCGATAAATATCCTCGTTCGCTGAACGAAAAGGTTACGGATTCGCGTTTCGTTTCAGATAAAGGAAAAATCGTTAGCTTCTTTTTCGATACGCAGTGACCGCTGGCCGATCGGACGCGAAACCTTTTCTTCGGTTAACGTCTCGCACTCGACCGCCTCGAAGACTACGACGACGTCGCGTTTATCCCTGAAAGTTCATGGATTTCGTTCACCGTCTCTCTCGCTCCTTTCGATTCTCCGTCTTCCTTATCTACGCCTGCCCGAGACTGGTAATTAATCGAGGAAAGTGAATATGATATCGGCACGGCTTTGAACCGCTGCATCCTGCCAGAGGCTGGCACGAGTCAGGTATCTGTATCCTGTTAGCTCTCTACCTTCAACTAGGACTCCCGTTCTATTCGCTACAGGTGATTCTTCTTTTTTTTGTCCTTTCTTTCCCACCTGTTTTCCACTCGTCTAGCTAATTAAATTGTTGTTTTTTTTTTTTAATAGCTTGACGTTTAGAGATCCTGTTGGTTTCTTTGCTTTCCTCTTTTTATCTGAATATAATCAATGATGCCTATTCTTCCTGAAGATGGGTATCCACTAATATTTTCTTTATTTTTACAGAAATCGAGTTCGATTTTCGAAAAATTTTTCTTTTTCACTTAAATTTTTGAAAATGGTAATTTTCGATTGTTAGTCTTACGGACTTGTTTGTTTCAGTCATGAATACATCAACTCGCATTCTCCTGGTGCTCTTCGTAGCCTATGCCACGGTCTTCGTGCTCGCTGCGGGAAACACTCCTTTCGATCGAGCCATAGGTAAGTTTAACGATACCTTTTTTCTATTGGAATATTTAAAAATAATCGTTTTGCTTCTTATCGAAACAGGCGTTTGCATCAGAAACTGTGCCCAGTGCAAGAAAATGTTCGGACCGTACTTCCTGGGCCAGAAATGCGCCGATTCCTGCGTGAAGTACAAAGGAAAGCTCATCCCCGACTGCGAGGATGAGGTTTCGATTCAACCGTTCCTCCAGGCTCTCGATAGCGAATATTGAAACTCAAACGTTAAAGTTCCTGCATCACTTAATCGCGTTCAATGTACACTTAACACGTGGCAAAAGTATGTATCGCCTGAATTTTTGTTTTTTTGTGAAGAACAGATACTTAGATTGATCGACGATGGTTGTGTTTAAACAATTTTTCGTCTCGACACGAACCGACGTTAGATTTTATTTATGAGAGACAAACTACTCGTCGTTGATATTAATCGAAACACTTTGATCTCATTGCAAATGCAACTTGTAGTTTAATTGTTCCAAGAATATTATACGATAAATTGCGAATGGAAGAATATTTATTGTATTATATAATCTGCTTCTCGAACTTTGTATCATCGAATACTCTAAGTCAGTGTTTCCCAAATTATTTAATTAGCCAAATATTTGAAAACTAGTTAAGTTTTTCAGACACGCTGGGAAACAGTACAATTATAGCTTGAAATTAAAACTAAGTACTCAAAGTATGAAACGAATGTTGCGTTCAAAAGAAAATGAAGCGAAAGTAGACAACAAATGCTCGATTGCACATTGTACTGTTGTCGAGTGGGTAACAACAAGCCAACCGAGTAACATGCAAATATTATAAACAATTCACTCACCGAACGTTGTTTACTCCGGAGTGGGTGGCGTTACGTAGCACTCTGGTATCGTAGACAATATTTGCTTCGATTCTAGTTGTTGTACCTGAAAATTATTTAACCTTCCATTATTATACCGAACAATTTTCTCGCTGGAACAAACGAATCTCGTTTATTTTTATTTTATTTACACGTTGCCGAAGAGTTTTCTCGTTCATGGCTGCTCTCGATAATAAATGTTTCACTTTGTCTAGGAGTTCAGACTTGTGGTTCAATTGTTCCCTCAAAATCTTTGCCTCCCCGTTGTCCTCCTCCTTTTGCACCCTTTCCAAAGCTACCACCCTTTGCTCGGCTAACTGCAAATCGGTTTCCAACGCTACTATCCGCTTCTTGGCTCCCTCGTATTGCTTTTGTAACACACCATCGACCTGGCCAACTGATTTTCCCTAATTATGCAAAATTAATAAGAATTAATCAAGAGAATTCATGGGTACACATAAATTAATATAGAATAATTTTTATACCTGATGGGGAAAATGACTCTTTTTAGAGGCAAGCCTGAGCTGTTTATTTTCAGCTTGAAGCCTCTCAATGATTCTCTTCAGGGTGAAAATTGTCTTTTCCATTTCTATTACAGACTTCTTCGAGCCTTGATCCTGCACGTCTTTGTCCAACGATCTTGGAGTTGAGTCAGAGGATTTTTCTACCTTCAGCAACTCGATATATCTGTATGAAAACAAGTGAAAAAAAAAATAATATACTTGATCAATTGAATCATAGACCTCAAAGGATTTCTGAAAGAACCTACTTCTCTAAATGATCGACCTTCTCCCTTAATCGCGGTGTTTCTGCGTTTACTTTTTCCAATTCCAGACGAAGCTCAAAATTCTCCGCCTCCAAAGTCAAATTCATTTTCTCAAGAATCTCCTTCGTCATTTCTAACTTCTCTAATTGATTAACTACGGAAACGTTACCCTGTGGAATATGGATAAACGTAAGAAGATAATATTTCCTTGGATAATTTCGAGATAGGATGAAAACTGACCTGAGAAACTATTTCCAGAGCAGCGATTCGTCTCTGTTGCTCTTCAATTTTTAACAAGAGCTTCTCGTTGTCCTCGTTCTCAAGGCGATCGGTTAATTCTTTGATACGATCTCGAAGAATCTGACACTCCTTCTGAAGTTCTTCCATCAAATTTTGTTGCGTGCTCGTCAAGGGTCTGGCAGATAAATTTCCAGCCATTGTGTTTTCTGATTTCAACTTGCTCTTCAGGTACCATTTCTCTCTTTCCATACAGGACACCACCGATCGAAGCTTTTCATGGTTCGAAAGCAACTTTGTGTACTCTTCCGTCTTTTCCTTGAGCTTTTCTTTCAGTTTCTCAGCAGTCTGTTGCCATTTCTTTTGCTTCTCCCATAGGGAAAGCTCTTCTGCGGTCTGTACGATGAATTTTCTGTTAATTCCCTGAGAATTATGATATAGAATGTTATTTCTTTGGTGTACCTTTGCTCTCTTTGCTTCTTGAGCTAAATACTCTCGATCCAACTGAGCTTTGGCTTTCTCCAACTCTTCTTCCAAAGATCTGACCTTACGTTCTAATTGAATTTCCCGTTGCGATATTTTCTTTTCTTGCGTTTTTACGGCCATGTATCTATGATTTAATAATTAAAAAGGAAAAAATTGTGGAGGTTCCAGATACATATTCAACTTAATTAATAGGAGATTAGACTCGCAGTTTAAATATTAAAAATCCTAAGAAATTTTTTAACAAAAGTACTTGCATTTTTATGAAACAACTTAATACCTGCGACTAAGTTGCTGCTTCAAGTCAGAAATCTCATTCTTGTACATTTTCTCCTTTTCCAGCAACGAATGTAGCTGTTTCTTCAGGATTTCCGTTTGCGCGCTTTGCTGCGACTGATCGCGAGCAAATGTTTGAGTAATTTCGTGAATCCTCGATTCCGTTTCACCGTGAGTTATCGCTCGTTGAGAACGACTCGTAGATTCCATCGATTCGACAGCGTTCTTCGTGCGAAAGCAAAATAAGAAAACAAATACCTAATCTATACTCATTTTTAATAAATACTTAATCTCTGATTTGAAATGGTAGCAAAAGGGTTAACTATCTTAACTAAATTTGAAATTGAAATTAAATAGAAACCTGATCCTGTATTAAATATTAAGCACGCGATATCGCTAGCGTTCTATATACAATGGTTTGCAGAAGTCAACTTTTGTATGTGTTATAAAAATTGAATAAAAATTAAATAAGTTATAAGTAATTAAAATTTTCGAAAATCACGACTTTTCACCTAAAATTATAACTAGTCACGTTCTTAAATGAAAAGTCGCGATTTTCAGAAATTTTAATTACTTGTAACTTCTAAGAGCATTGACTGAGATCTCGATGAAATTTTCAGCATACACATTACATACTTAAGTTTACAAATGTCATATTTTAAATTTTCTTTACAGGCTCAGATAAAAAATTTCAACAAATTGTAATTTTTTAAAACAAGAAAAGCACATATCTTAGTAAATTAATTTCTATAGCTTCCCAAAAAAACCTCATCATTTGGTCCAATTTTAAACAAAGTATTCTGTTTTAAACGGTGTGCGAATACTTTTGCAACCCACTGTATATTCTTTATAATACCTGCAACTGCTGACAGGCAAGACTGAGCTCGTGTATCTTATCATCCTTCTCCTGCAATTCCTTCATCAAAGAAATATTCCCCTTAGTAATTAACACACGATTCTCAGACAACTGTTTGCGAAGGGTGTCAGCTTCAGACTGCCATTTTATCAATTCCCCGCGATAACTCTCCAGCTCGTTTTTGTGTTGCTCCTCCAATCTGGTGAAAAGAATCTCCATCCAAATAGTCGTTCATCTCTCAAACAACCAGTCACTCACCTTTCCCTCATTCTATCCATGTGTCTCAGTCTCTCTTCGGCCAATCTGTGCCAACGTTCGCTAAGTTCCTTGGTAATGTTCAAATCCGCCTCCAGAGTCGACACCGTTTCCTGCAGCCTAGCTAGTTCCTCCATTTGAACCACGTTGCTTTTCGTATCGGTCTCCTGTATCTTATCAGACAATCTTTCAGGTTCGTCAGACACCTTCAGAATTTTCTCCTGAAGCCGAGCTTGCAAGCTTCTGATCTCCTCTTGCAAACGAACCGCAGCTTTGCTGTGCTCATCCCGATCCTCCTTCAACAGGTTCTGATACCTAGCTATAGTCTCCTCCTTCTGACTAAGCAACTTCTGCAGACTATTTATGGTTGATTTCAAGGCGAGCTTGTCGCTGTACTCGCTACTGTGAAGCTGGGAATGTGGCTGAGCTTTGCACTCCTCCAACAGCTTCTCTTTTTCAGTTAATTGAAGATCCTTGCTCTCCAGGATCTTATTCAACCCCTCAATTTTTACTTGATACTCAGCTATCTGTAATTCATACTTCACTAAAGTCGAGGATCTTTCCGAGGCGAGTTTCAAAGCCCGATTCAATTGATCGCGAAGCAGAGACACTTCTTCTTCTTCTTCATCTTCCATTGTGTTCTCCTCTTTCTCTGGTTCTTCCGTTTGTTTGCCCTCTTTCTTCGAGTATACCTCTTCAACTTCGGTCTGCTGGGTTTCCGTCGACTGTTCTCCCGTTTTTTCTTCTTTTAATATCGAAGTCTGAACCTCGACCTCGAGAGTCTTCTTCGTCTCCAAGCAACAAGTGTAAGGATCGGTCTGAACTTCCATGGAATTCATCTCTATCGTCGCTTGAACGGATACGTGGTTGTTTTCCAAGGGTACAGGACTCGTTGCCGTGTTTTGTATGTCGATTTTTGATTGTTGCTGTTGACCCTTGCCCCAGACTTTCTGAATTTCAATCATTTCCTTCTCCATGCTCGTTATCAGCGACTCGTAATCCATGAATTTGTTGTTCGCCGCTTGCAACTCGTGTTCCAATTGCGATATTTTTCGTTTGTACTTGAAATCCTGATCAATAGTTCAGATTACATTCGATAAAATAATAGTTATTCTAAGTAGGATCTAGTAAATCCGAAGCAACTTACAATTTCTTATAGAATGACCATAAGAATATTGAAAATCGTTTCAGAATCAAACAGACCGAAACGAAAGAATTTTTTCAAATTAACACGCTGAACGCCATTAGAGCTTCGATACGTCCCATAACAAATGACCATTTTCACCTTGGCGTTCAACATGTTAAAGAATAATTTACACTGAAGAAGAAAATTTAAACCTACGTTCAAAGTGTACTGAGAGTATTCAGAGAAACGTTGCAGAATATCCTGCACTCCATTGTTTCCAATTTGTTGTTCAAGTATATCTTTCAAGCTTTCCACGATTTGCAAACGATTCGTTAAAATCTCTTGCTGTTGCTTAGCACCCTCCTGATATTCTTTTGCCTTTTTCATTTCCGAATCAATATTCTGACGTTCTTTCTTTAATTTTAAAGATAACGAAGCTACTCTGTCTAAAGTGGTAATAGAAGTTGAACCCGCGTATAATTCCTGCAGAAACCCTATGATATCTGTGTACGTTCTGTAAAAAGATTCCTAATTAATAAAACGCGTGTCTCTATTACGCAAATGAAACACGTAAACCTTCTCTGATGGCAAAGTATTAATTATCGTCAAAGAAGACTTATCAAGCCAGATTTTACGAAATATTTTCACCTGCAACGATTCTCGCACTGCTTTCGACAATCTTGCACGTATACGCGCAATCCCTCGCAAGTTGTTCTTAATTTTTCAAGTTCCTCCTGCTGATAAGATAATTCATTCTCCATTCTGCTTTTCTGCGCATTCAGTTCCATTTCCGACATCTTTTTACCAGCCAACTCAAAATCCAGTCTTGAAATTGTTGCCTTATCCTCGCTGATCGCTTGCAAATCCAAAATCTGATGCCTGAGATCATCTAATTCCATCAGCTTCAAGGAGTTCAAGGAATACTGTTCCTTGGCTTCTTCACGAGCAATCTGAAGCTGTTTCTTCAAGTCCTCGTTCTCTATTCGAAGCGTCTCGATATTATCCTTCAGTTCTTGCACACGATTATCGTCCAACTGTTCGTTCTTCTCGAAACGCAAGTCCTTCGACAATCTTTTATGAAGAATAATCAATTCTTCTTGCAACTCCGACTTTGCTGTAACTACTTCCTTCAGATTTTCTTCGCATTTAGACAACTGAGTCTGTAAAATCTCGTGCAAACTGCTAACGTGATCAGCACGTTGTTTTTCTAGAAGTTCTTTAGCCTGGCTCTCTTTTAACTGTTCCTTCAAATCTTTTTCACCTTCCTGCTGGATCTCTTTTTGAAAATGCTCCAATAATTCTTCTTTTTCTCGTTTCACTATCTCCAATTCACTCTTCAAGATCTCTACCTCCTTAGCGTTTTCCAGAACTAAATTATTCTCCAAGAGGTTGCGGTGACGTATAGCGAGCTCTTCGTGCTTCTCTTTGAGGTCGTTGTAAACTGTGTAGCTGACGGAATTGGACAGATTGCTTTGGACCGTTGAAATTTCGCGTTCGAAGACTTTGTTGTGGTTGATCGCGTCGGCGAGCGATTTTCTTAGATAATTCTCGCTCTTGATTGCTTCTTTCCGCTCTTGATAGACTTTCCTTGATTCTCTGTTTAATAATTGCTGAAGAGCTACGTTCTTTCTGTTCGCTATCAGAAGCTCGCCGGCAGCAACGGCGTATTCTCTCGTTTTAATCGCGAAAGCTTTTCGAATTTCATCCTCCCCCTCCTCCAGGATTTTCGTACTCTGTTCGTAGACTTCGAGCTGCATCTTAAACTTCTCCACTTCGCTCTTCAAATTTTCAGTCTGTTCCAACAGGGAATTCTTCTCTTCCTCCCACTCGTCTGACGCGTTTTTGTACATCTCTTGCAACTTGTTCATCTCGGAAACATACATCGTCTTCTCACTGTCCGATTCATCGGTGTATTCGTCGATGTTTGTGATCTGATTTTGGGACAACGATTTCAGCATGTTATCCTTCTTCTGGAGTTCCTTTCTGTAATTGTTTCGAATTTTCTGATACGCTGCTTTCGGGGAAACTTTGTAGATTTAAGGGAAGTTATATTCTTATATGACTACATAATCCATTTCTATTGTAAATAATGCGGTGTGCACAAGTTATTTTGTAAAAATGAGAAAAATGAGCGACTTTTATTAAATTAAATTCAAAATCAATAATAAACATTCGTTGGAATTGTGATTCTACACGAATGTTTCTTGGGAATCTTATAAATGTACCTCAATTGTCTAATTTGCCCTCTTAATTCGGCGTTGCTGCCCTGTACAACGTTCAGTTGTTCCTGTAATCTCATTGCTGGATGATACCAGCCCGCTAAATGTCTCACATCTAACGCTTCTAATAATCTTTCTAACGTGCTTGATTGTATTTCCACGATGCTTTTACCTGAGATACCAAACAGTTAAATTTCACGCCTCCTTTGTACACGATTATTCAAAGAGACTTTTGTAAGAATAAAGCAAATACAATTTACGAATATGGTTAGTATACGTGTGTTTCAAAAGAGTGTACAGTATTGTTAGAGGTAAAGATTGAAAATAGAGTATTTGACAAGGAGACTATATGAGGTGTTAGAAGCGAAAAATATTTTTAACAAAAATATAGTGTTTTGCAGTAAGACCCTGTCTGTAAAGTTTCATTGAAATCGATAGATAACAACTCACATGGTCCCCTCGAAAGAACAATTTTGCACAGAAAAAAGGGAAGAAATCGGTGCATCAGTGAAGTACCATTAAAATTAGCGAAAATTCACCGTCTTGATTTCGTATACTATCCAAAATTTCGTGCATGCCAGTTCTAAGAGCCTCGTTCTCTTCTATAACCAGCTGCATGTTCTGTTTCAATTCGAAGGCATTCTTTGGTTCCGATTCCGCCAGTTTCGTTGAATGCAAAAATTCCATGCTTCCGTCTACGGTGGTACTCGAGAAATCGATTTCTTTCGAGGTTTTACTTAATTTGTACTTTAACACTCTCATCTACAACATTAAGGCGATCGAAGAAATGATTGTGTCGGAGTTGATCATGTAGAGAAAGAGCCAAACTTCTTGTTCTTACATCCGATTTTAATTCCAAGTTTTCCTCGAGAAGCATCTTATTTTGTTGCAGAAGCTCCTCCAGTTTCTTCTCTTCCTCTTTGCGTTTCTCCAGAGCATGTTGAATCGACACCGATTCGTGTTCTGGTATTCCTAGCTTCTCTCTAAAGCGTTCCAGTTAACATTTATCCTTTGGAAAATTGCAATGAAGAAATGTTGCAGCAGTTGCATAGTTACCTAAGCGTTATAATTTCCATCTCTTGATAGGAATTCAACATTTCCAATTTGTTGACGACGTTGATCAAGTCTCTTATGTGCTCGCCTTTGCCTTTTATATCATTTTTCAATTCCTTTATCTCATTCAACGCGTCTGTTAAACCGTGATTCTCATCCTTGTACTTTCTCAATGTAGCTAATGCCTCGCATAACTGAATGAAAAAGAAATTATTATTAAAATCCAGCAGGCTATTGAGGCATTGCATCACTTCATTAACTGACTTTGCTGCTTCTTAACTGGGCATCTTCCTCTGCTTGTGATAATTTAATCTGTAAACTTGATATTTGTTCATTAGCATCCTGTAATTTTTTTAATAGTTCCTTTTGCTCCTTCTTTTTGTCGTGTTTCCCAGCCCTGAACCAAATGTGTTGATAGAAAAACATGTGTAACTATGGATTTGGTATCTTTCTTATCTAATAAGATACATACTTCTGTGCATCTTCTTTTAATTTTTTTATAACTTCAGCACCTTCGTTAATTTCAACGATGGCTTCGGAAAGTTTTGTTTTTAACTCGGTGATTATTTTGTCACGACGATTTATTTCTTCGTTTAAGTGAACAATTTCGGATTTGCTTTGTTCTTTGGCAGAGACTACAGATTGAATGAGCGACTGTGATAGAGTGTCCTTCAGCCGTTGAATTTCAGCATCTTTCTCATCCAATATTGCCTAGTAAATTGTTCGTGAATCAAAATATAGAAACGTTGATTTAAGCTAATTTGGGTTTCATCTGTGTATACCTTCCATTCATTAATTCTAACATCAATTGCTGCACCAAATTCATCTATCACTTTGTCTCTATCCATTTGTTGCTCTGTTATTTCCTCAATTTGAGCAACTAGGGCAGCATTTTCATGTTCTAATTGCTGTAGCTTTTCTGGAAAAAGATCTTCCATCAATTGAACTGCAAAGCTTTCGATGCTCGCAACTGAACATTACATTCTTTGTCATAATAACCTTTGAATTCCGTGGATTTAATGTAAGCAGATCCTAATTCTTCTGTCATTTCATTCATTTTTTGTGTTGCATCTTCCATTTCTTGGGTCAGTGTAGTTAATCTTTCTTTCAAAACAATATTATCCTTTTCCATGGTCTATGAAGTTTTGAAACCATCAGCAAACAGCTTTAAGAGTATTTTTGTTTTTCCTGAACTTACCTCTAGCTCTGTCATGAGAATCTTAATTTTCTTATTTTTCTTTTGTGATACATCATCATGATCAGTGCCTTCTGATACATCCATGTGCTTGAAATGGTAATATACATAGTTTTATGAAAACTACTATAAATACATATTTATGAAAAAACTAATAGAACATCTTACTTTAGATACATCACTGGTTTCATGTTTTGTGTCAGATGTATCCCATTCTACCCATGAAATACACAAGATTTTATAGAAATAAAAATATTTCATTAAATTTACCAAATGAATGAATACATAATGCTAAAAAGAACTTGATATATTAAATTTCAAAGCACATTTTACCTTTCTTTTTACGTTTGGCAGGTTCAGGTTTTAGAGAAGAAATGGTTTCTTTCAATTCACTGCATTCTAATAACAATGATTCTACCTATCATGAAAATAAAATATCAATAAGACTTATCAAAATGCTACCATATACAAAAAGGAAATGTATGATCATTGAAAAATCCGAAAGCATCATTTCTTTTATTGAATAACAATTATATAAACAACAACAGGGATACTCAGTTAGTATCAATTTACATAAAGAAAAATACTGAGTAATTATTTTTACTTGATTGTCTTTATACTGAAGTATTTCTTGAGACATTTTCATCAGAGTTCTTAGGTTATGTATGTCACTAATCTCGTCGACATCACAACTAATCATAGCAGGATAAAGATCTTCCATGTCATCGTCAGTCAATGACGATGGATCTATGGATAATATATGATCCCAATCGGTGCGACCCATTTTTCATGTAATTAAATCAATTATCACCACTACAACCTCATTAACCTATTCAACTCATTCAAACTGACACGCACTGACATGTTCAATGTATGTACACAAACGACGCTTGTCACTGGTTTCCATGGCGACTGTGTTATGAGCGTCGGGGATGTCGCCATAACCACAGAAACACTATAGTCATCTAGCGGTAGAACGCTGCTGCTGATGATATTAAGTTTTGGTTACTTCTTCCAATGTTTGACTTTATCAGCTTTCTAAGGCTAATAAGACCATATTAATTGGGACTGATATTATTATAGACTCGAATCTTCTGTCTCAGAAACTCCCTTATCACTTGTGTGTCACACCCTGCTATATCGGTTGAACGTGATTTTACAGCACAGACGTCTTGGTGATACAAATTAAAATACAAAATGTTTATTATTTTGCACGTAAACAACAAAAAGGAAGACATTTCAGCTCCTTCGAACTTCATTTTGCATATTACACAGATGTGTGTAGATTGCTGTTTAATGATTTATACATTTGATTGATGACACTTCATCAGTAAACGAATGCAATGACTTTAGATTATGAATAATATGAATCCAGATATAATCAAAGCAAGGAAACAATGAATTGCTTAAAATGCAAAGGGTCTTCATACAATTTCAATAATGCATCTTTAAAAAAAGCAATCTGTCAAAAAATATTCGGCTATTTAGAAACTTTCTTTTTATTTTTATTTTGTTTCCTTATACAAGTGATTGGATGTGACTGTATTTTTGGAGCAGATGGTGTATAAGTATGATCGAAAATAGCTGTACTTGTAGTAGTAGTTGTGGTTGTGGTTGTCTGTTTCTTAGGGTCTGGTATGTGTTCAATTAAACCACTACTCCTGCCATTTTTGGAATATCCAAAATTTAAATTGTGCAGTACACGACGAAAACTTGAGGCAGTGAATGTGGGTAAATCTGGATCTGCATTGACCAGTTCCAATGTTTTTTTAACTGTTGGCACTTCCTGTCTTTGCCAAAAATCGTGAACGTATTGTCGAATTTTTGACTTCTGTTCGTCGTTCAATTTGTCGAATATTCCGAGTTTCGTTCGCGTTACAGTGGGGGAGGAAACTTTTCCGGTCTTTCTATATTCTGCCAAGACTGCTGTAATTGTGCTCACACCAATTCCACTTGTCTTAGATACCATCGCCCTTATTTCCTTATATGTAGCATTTGGATATGTCTCCAGTTTTTCGTGATATATGTTTATGATCATTTTTTTCGCTTGAGATCGAACAACCTAAAACATAAAGATATAAAAATCAAATTATTTAATTAATATGGAATTGAACATCTTCCAATTTTTTAATTCGTTAATGTAAATTTTGAATCTGTTACTAACCTTTCCTCGTGGATTTCTGGTTAGTGGAGATTTACTGGTGGAAGGTTCCATTCTTTTTTTACACTTAGATAAAAATAAACCTTATTATTAAACACTATAACCATAAAAATATATAAAATACTCTACATAGAACAACGCCTTTGAAAACAATAATTGAATATTTTAATGGTTATGCTTTACATGACAATTTGCGAGTTATCTCGTTGTAAAGTATCGATATGCAATCGACTGGAGACTGGAGGAGAAATAAGTAGGGGAACAGCCAATAGCAAACTCGGACACGGTGACCAAACAGACTCTTGTCAAATCGTAGTTAGGTTCTTATTTGGTTTTTAGAATAAATTGTTACTCAGAAATATGTTCTTTTTCTAATTTTCTGACACGAACCGACAAAAACATTCAAATGTAAGATTTTATCAAATCAAAAACGTTGGAAGTATCATATGCGTTAGCAACAGCAATGTGTAAGATATTGCGGAATATTGACTAAAATAAAACCTGTGGCCAGAAGGGACATTATCTACGGCGCGCACTCGCACTAAAAAAATTATAGTTATATAGCTGTCGAGCATACTTATGGCGACCTCTAGTAGCTCTATTTTACCATATAGGAAAGTGCATTTCCGGTGAGTTTTCTCACCAGATTTTTGGCGACATCTATTTCCGAAGCGGTTAGCGTTTTTCCTTGAAAAGGAAAGGAAAGGACTTTCGCTATAGTATTTTGAATTTCACTTATAAGTCGTATATAGAGTTAGTTTTAGTGTTCATTTATAATTATACTATAATAGTTCATGTTATTAAGTTTAAATTTAAATTGTTATAGTTGCCATATTATAAATAAATGTTAGTGAGATCTTATTTAAACATTTACAACTGTGTGAACAATTAATTTCCTCTCAACGGGTAAAGCAAAAGTCTGCATACTTGCTACATACTAAACGAATTAACTGCGCCCTACAAAAAAAATGAGGAACTAAATTTGTGGTCTGTTTTACCTTTCTGACGTCTTTCGCGAGTGAAAAATCAACGAAATCGTATTCTCACTATTTTTCTAAACGAAAGCTTGTACACCATCCCCTGAGTGCTCATTTTGCTCTATCCGACCGAAAGAATGGCGCTCTTATCTCTATTTGAACATACGATTCGCAAAAATGTTTATATTACGAATAAATTAATGCAGGTGAGTCCGATCCGCCATTTTCTTGACCGTGGACAGACACCAATTTCGATATTTTATAACTTTTTGACGATTTGGATAAAATAAGGACCAGTGCGCCATTCTTTAGGGCCTCCTGAACACGTCCCTCAAATTTCTTTCAGTAGGAACGAAGAAAGGTGTGTTCTCGTTTCTAGGGATTATTTCAGGGACTGTCGGTAAAGTTTTCAACTTGTTAGTATATAAGGCATTTACATACAGTGGCATGCATCAGTCGTAAGAGTGGTAAGAGGCAACTTTGTCGTCAAGAATTGATCGTTGACAATCAGAAGTAAGTAACCCGAGATACTGTCAAGAACTACGATAACTATATCAAATTTAACAAAATTAAAGATAAATTAGATCTTCAGTATGATTAAAATGTTAAACATATTAAATAACAGAAAAATTGTAATTAAGCGGCTCCGGTATTGCATCGTGACAATATATTAAATTAATGTCCTTGTTCTTGAAATATACATGTACATTCTATATAGCGATTTTATTATGACTTATTTATACTAATGTAAACTATATAAATTGTGAGACAACATTCAAACAGCTATCACCTGATACACTGTATTGTTAAATGACGTTAATGTTGCACACTAATTATTTATATAAAGATATTTTTATAAAGCATTAATAAATTCCATAATATTATTTGTAACATACCGTTACATGAATTATTATTATTCAAATTGAGTTAGAATTTTAATATTTTTGAGTATTTAAATATATCAGAATGTTTCATATAAATTTGCCCTTTAAGTTAAGTATATTAAGTAATTCAATTTTTTTATAAGAACATTGTTATGATCATAATATTTTAGAAAATAATAGAAAATTTTTATAATTATAAGTAATATTTGTAATGTTGTTTAATTGATAATAAAAATTGTAACTTGTGCAATAGTGTAATTGAAATTAAATAATATTTATAGAATGTTTCATATAAGATTGGTGAAGCAATTTAGATCTATAAGAATTAGACAATTCCATTCTACTCTTATTAAGTATGAAGACAAAGTTGTTCCTGAAAATAAATCCACAAAACCACCACAAGCGCAAGAAAACATATTAGGTAAAATTTGATTTTACCTGTGTTTTTATAAAATTTTAGCTTACATACATGAAAATACATCTTATTTTATATATTTTAGGGTCACCATTTCATACTGTGACTAATTTTGATAAAAGAATATTAGTATGGGTTAAACGCTATCCTAGTATGGATCAAGTTCCAGACAGAGTATCGTAAGTAAATATATCATATACAATATTATAATATAATGTTATATTATTGTAATACTAACAATAAATTATATTTTTTAACATTTAATATGAAGATTATGAACTTACCTTGGAAGTTATATATGTGTGTTTTTATTAATTAGTATAGATTGTATACAAAAAGCACATGCTATAGCAAGAGTTCGTGGATGTCTTTTAATGACAGTACTTGCAATAATTGGATTTATGGTATCTATTTATATCGGGAAAAAAGAAACATCAGGTGGAAAGAATATAATGACAGAAAGATTAAAGTGGTATAAACAAATGGAAGAAAAAGGTCGAAAAGAAGCAATGGAAAAACAGCAATAAAGAAGTATTTCAATATTATTGTAAATATGTAAAAAGCAATAATAAAATAGTTATTTAATATAATATTCTATTGCTTGTATTGCTGAAAAAATCTTGCTCATGTTTTAAGCAATATTACACGAACAATAAATATTTTTCTTTATAATATAAAATCATATTATATAAACTATGTTAAAAGTAGAAAGTACAGTAAAAGCTGGATATATGCAACAAACATTGGGATCCAGACGTTGTATATATCCAGCCGAAGTGTCGATTCTGGGCATTTAAACGTTGCATATATCCAGTCGAGGTGTCGATTCTGCGTCCGTACACATCCTTTGTATTCAGCCGCGATACCTATTCTATACCGCAGTTCACTAGTGTCCATAACTGCGAAAAGACCAGTTTTCGTTCTTCGCGCTTCTCCAGTGCGCATCTTCGCCCTGATTGGCGATACTCCCAAACGAAGTGGAAAGCGATTAGCAGAGAACTCGCTGCGTTCCCCCACCATCTTCCAACCTGCGCGTCGCAGTTATGGACTCTGGTGAACTGCGGTATACGGTATACGTTCGTACATACACAACATGCGACGTGTTGTATGTTGTATGTTGCGTGTTTGATGCATCTTTGGTGTACGGCCTGCCTTATGTTTGGTATCATTTTAATCAGAAAAATTTCGCAAATGCGTTAGTAAAAGTTTCATTAAGAAAATGGTAAAAATAAAAAAGTTTTATCGTTCAATTAGTATTAGTCACACCGATATTACGGTCGGATCATATTACACGGTTTCCTCGTCGAGGGGCTCGGTTCGCTTAGGGTGATCCCCCCAAGTGGAGGGGATAGCGATGTTGCATATATCCAGCTTTTACTGTATGTAAAACAGGCATGATGTATTATATTAATATTATAAAATATATTTTTCAGTAAATAGAAATTATTGTAATTGATTTCTTAACGTTATTAACACTCTGTATTGTTTCTGTTATAAGATTGCATTCTTATGAATTAGAAACAATTCACATTTACAAAATGGTTATATTTATTATTTTATAAATGTCTAAGTATGTTTGTATATTATAGTTACATATATTTTAGTTACATTTTGACTTCAGTCAGGTTATAATAAACAAAACTGCAATAAACTAACGGTTGTATAAAAAATTGATGGTTTTAACTATTCATAAAATTATTTACAACACTATGCTGTTACATTTATTGGTTTATAAAAACTACGACATTTTTCGTGATATACATTAATTGTTCGTTTTTTAACAATTTCTTCTACATTTAATTCTGACTGTAATAAACGCAGAGTACTTTGTTCTTTCCTTAATGATTTAAGAAGCTGTGGATTATCATTCCCACTATCTTTTTGAGCCTTCAATTGCTTAACTTTTTCTTTTGATGCATTTACACATTTTGTAATGGCCAATTCTCTTTGTTTATGACCTGACTGAATTTGTTCAAATAAATCTTTACATTGTGCCGTAGGATCAACTTGGCTTTTAAAAGATTCTGTTGGAATTGTAGCATTTAGCATATAAATAATTTTGTCATCAATTTGTCGCATTTTTTGTAATGCATCCTGAAACAAAAGTAATAATTATTACGATCAAAAATATAAAATACATCATACCAGAAAAAACATAAGGAAAAAATTTAATACATATTATTTAACAATTTTATGCTTACAATACATAAATTATCACTGTATTATATATGTAAGCATATTTTCATGGTATGTAACACGTGCACTTTAATAAGACTCATTCATTACCTTAACTGTAGATATATTTAACCTAAATTAAGATTTCCAAATTAAAAGCATAAGTAATACGCTGAATTGTCTCATTACATTTAATCTTTTATATTAATTTAAAGAAACTTTAATGTATTAAAAATTGTTTATTGTACGAAATATTACATAAATCTCCATATAACCTTAATTATGTGTACAATACATTACGTATATAGAGCAACTAATGTAAAGATTGTTTGTTCAACACATGCAAGGTACAAATTTGAAAACCTGAATTTACATATAGAAATCAGAATATTTTTTTACACATCTTTCATTTATGAGAATAATACCTGAAACTCTAAAAAATCTCCACATCCAACACTTAGGGCTGCCATTTTCTTATATGGAAACTGGGAACCAAAGAAATACCATAGAAAAGTATTGAAGTTGATCATCAGCAGTAAATCCATAATTAGAATATAAAACTTAGTACATCAATTAATAAATTAATTAGTGATACACTAATATCAATATGTTTGAAACATTTAATTTAAAGAAGAGTTTAAGAGAAATTGCATGTATTATACGTGAAAAGTGTTTTGATTGTTTCTTGCGACCAAAGTAGGTTTCAAAGCAAAAATTCTTAAAATCTTAATTTTCACGACATGTGTCAACATTGAACATAATTTGTAATTATTAATTATTGTGAAATTTAGTATATGATTAAGAAAAATAAATAACAGTATAAAAATCAATTCAAATTCTCCCGCGTAATTAGTCGCAACTTAAGTCGTTTAGGGGTCCCTGATATCCCGGATGCCATAATGTCGGTATGCAGAGTGTTACCAGTGCTTCGGGGTCCCTACCCTTACCCTTACTTTCGCCCAAAGGCTGGCATTTTTGGGGATTCTCTAACACCCCAATATGATGTCATGGCGGTATGTAAGTACTGTGCACCGATGACAAGATGTCCCATGAGAAGCACGCATTTGCATTTGTCTCATGGGACATCTTGTCATCGGTGCACTATAGTTACCGGTGCTTCGGGGTCCCTGACACCCCAATATGAAATCAGGTCCGTATGAAGAGGGCACAAGCAGCGTCCTCTAATTTCTTTCCGGAGCCCTGAAACGCCATCTTGGGCGAAGCCCAAGAAAACCAAAAATAGAATAGAATTTCTTTCCGGAGTTTATTTAATTTACTTTATTTATTTTCTCAGCTTATTAAATAAATCCATCAAAGGGGAATACCATTTATGATTGTATCCTTCTTTTGGGCCTCGGCCAAGGACCCCTTTTATTTCACTTTTTCCAGTTATTTATATAATTTTATCCCTCTTTATAGGCCAAGGCTACCCCTTTCAGTTATTAATTATTTTATTCACCTTTATAGGACATATCCACGCTTCTCAATTATTTATTATTTTATTTCGCTTTATGGGTCTCGCGGGGACCACCCTTCCCAGTTATTGTTTATCCTATTCCTACTATTTATGGACCAAGGTTTCCCTTTGCAGTTATTTATTTTTGTCATTCTTTTCATGGACCTTGCAGGGAATACTCCCAAATCACTGTATCCTCGTATCCTTTGTACCCCTGAATCCCTTACATCCTAGCACTTCTTATATCCTTCTTATTTCCTGCATTCCTTACACCCATGCAACCCTTGCATCCCTGCATTCCTTACATCACTTTCTAATTCCCAAACTTTCAATTTTAAACGCACCTACTCCAAATACAACAATTTCAAACAAGAAACCAAGTGTGCATCATGTTTTCCTTTTAATAACATTCAATAGATAAGTTCAGGCTCGTTATTACACAACGTTGCGTCACTACGATAATCAGAACGTTATCGCAACAAGTCCCTCTAGAAACAGCCATTTGCAACGTTCATCTAATCCTACATTGATTAAGTAAAAGTCAATGCACTAAGTAATTCATTGCAATCTATTCTATCAATGTTATTTAGAGAATACACCAAAAAATCATGTTTACCATTTTGAAACAAACATCTCCTCCATATATGTGTACATTATACATCATTACTCTATATATGCATAGAAAAGAGATGAAATAGAAATAGATAACACTGAAAGGAGAAATAAATCTGTGTGGTAGAGGGGACTTGTCGAAAGGAACTTGAAAAACATGTATGACCGCAAATACACCATATGCACTAACAGTACACGTATGAGACATGTTTACATGTGAAGCATCGTGTATCTCCAGGCAAGGCTTTTTACGAAATTCGACTTTGGTCGAGCCACAGGGTCTTGCACGTCCTAAAATATAGTATTGTATGTAAATTACGTTGAAGAGATAAGGTTTATTCATTATCGCAACCGTGAACTCTCAATTGACGTTCGACCACGATGGTACTCAGTAAATTCTCTACTCGATTACTGAACACTCGTGCGTCCCTGTTTTGGAATTATTCCGCGGATAAATTGTTGCCACGTGAAAATGTCAGACGGATACATTTCAATTACTATACCGACAAAAGTAACAACGCACCCGGTAAGTGAAATTATCTCTTCCTGATGTAATATGTATATCTGCATGGCCAGTGTGTCACCGTCTTAAGAATTCCCGCCAAAATAGAAACTCATTAATTTTTACCTATTATCCAACCATGAGTTAGTTTTGACCTAATGTTAGCAGCGAAGAAGTTTGAATCAAAAAAGTTGACTGAAAGTATAACTTGACAGCCGTAGCCATTAGCACAATCGATTTAATACCACTTCCTTGTTCAGTGCAGATATCTATAAACGTCAGATGTGAATAAATTTAAATGGAATGATAACGTTTCAGGTGAGACAGAAAAGATGAATATGTATCAAGCGATAAATAATGGACTTCGTTCAGCGCTGACCAAAGATCCCGACGCAGGTATTAATAATAAATAATCAATTCTTAAGATTCAGGTTTATAAAGTATGTATTACAACACAGTCAGAATGTTTAGTAAAAAATTGTTGTTATCTTATCTTTCAGAATTGATAACACACTAATTATAACACAAACCTACATTGAGTGTTTATGTAAAATCTTTTTTTTTTAATTTAGTGATATTTGGCGAGGATGTCGCATTCGGAGGTGTTTTCCGATGTACGATGAATCTCCAAAAAGAATTTGGACGCGATCGAGTTTTCAATACGCCGCTTTGCGAACAAGGAATCGCTGGTTTTGGAATTGGTTTAGCGACTGCCGGTGTAACAGCGATCGCAGAAATTCAATTCGCTGATTACATATTTCCTGCTTTCGATCAGGTAATTACAAATTACCGATTTAAGGCAAATTTTACATTCTTCAACCCTCTATAGCCCAAATTTTTTATACTTAAGAAAAGAGTCCATTCCATGACTCTAAAACAATGAATATATTTATTACTTCAAAATTGCATGGGTGCATAGAGGGTTAAATAATTTCGTATTACGATATTGTTACATATGTTTATTACAAATTTAATCTATTTTATCTGTAGCTGGTAAACGAGGCAGCCAAGTTCAGATACCGAAGTGGCGGAGAGTTCGACTGTGGTAAATTAACGATACGAGCGCCTTCTGGAGCTGTCGGCCATGGCGGTCTCTACCATTCACAAAGTCCTGAAGCTTATTTTGCACATACGCCAGGTTTAAAGGTGTGTATTAACATTGATTAAATCCATTAATTATAGCTATGCCATCGACTGATTTGATCAAAATTTAAAATGATCCCTAGCTTGTCGATAACTGTAATCACTGTAGTATCTTAAAGAACTGATTTACCCAATCTCGGTAGAGTAAATTCTTTACCTCACATTAAATATACGTGTTTCGTTTAATAAGTAATAGATGCTGCACAGTACATAATCTTAGACTGAAAATGGATTCGAAGTAGAATGAGCCCCGTATGTGGTCAGACACTTCAGGCATCATTTCGTACTCCTTTTTGACCTCTAAATATCTGTGACTACTTAATATGATTTAATTTTTAATTAAATCATCGTAAAGTTGATGATGAATAAATGCAAAAGGTATACAAACTTATAGAAGCAAATTTCTATGCTCAAGGATGTTCTTCATTCCTCGATGACACGCTTCGGTGTTATAGTCTTTGGATTTTAACTTTCTGCAAGGGATTTCATGAATATTGTACGGCACATGTACTTTACGTATGCATGAAGAAAGTTTTCTTGATACTGACACTATAGATCGCTGTATTTCTTAACACGTTGTTAGCTATAGTAGAAATGGACATACCTAGTATGGTATACTATAATTATGATTATACAGAACAGGATTGTTCCATTTTCCAATTAAAACTTTTTAAATTAACTCTTCTTATCCCAAATTTTATTTGCAATGTTTAAAAATTTGATAAGATAATTAAATATTACATAAATTCTCAAATAATTGAATTAAAGTAACCTTAACTTAAATATTGTATTTACAGGATTGTTGCAACCTCGTTAGGATTTGTATAATATTAATGCAATTTAGGATTATTTTTAATATTTTTTTATTTGTCTTGTTTTGTTTATTCAATTATATTGAAGCTGTAGCATTAGTAATCGAAATGTTGTTAATCATTTTCACCACAGTAGTCATCGTATTAACAACTAAATACACAGTAACGATAATAATCGTACAAATGATACACCACAAAGTCACAATCTCTCGTGAACAATAAATATTGTAGACAGGGAATTAGATAGAACAACACTCCTAGCACATACCAACGTCAACAATCATTTCGCTGAATATCAGTGTAGCAATCAGCGTGTTAAACGTCAACGTCACATTTCATTCTCATCGGAAAGAAGCGGAATAAGGTCGTACGTCTTCTAAATTCTTGTCTGGTAGAACGGGTTAATGAAATATACCTGAATTATCTTTTACAGATCGTTATTCCCCGAGGGGCGAGACACGCGAAAGGTCTTTTGTTGAGCTGCATAGAAGAACCGGATCCTTGTATCATATTCGAGCCAAAAATACTGTATCGCACGGCGATCGACGAGGTGCCGACAACCGATTACAAGATTGAAATCGGCAAGGCTGAAATTGTTAAAGAAGGTAGGCGTACAAGCATTGGCGTAACTATAGTAGGATCTTTCCTGGGGTTGGCCAGCTCCACAGATTATTAGAATATTAAAATTTTATAATTTTTATACTTTTGAATTTTAGAATCTTAGCGTCTCAAAATAGTGAGGGGAGCCATCCCACATTTTGGGGGAAACTAAGCCCACCCTAGGGCTCAGGAATATTAGAATCTCAGAATTTTATAATTTTCAAGCGTTTGAATCTTAGAATATTAACATCACAGA